CACTGGGGTCTGCAGACCTCGAGTGCTGCACAATGAAATCCCAGCCTGCAGGACCTGGGCACTCATGCTCAGACCCTCTGCCCTGGCTGAAGAGTCACTGGAGTCCAGCAGGACCCTCGAGGGCAGAGCCAAGCAGATGGCCCTGGTTTTCAGAAAAATGAGAGAGGCATGTACTAAACCTTGGCCCCTGAGGTGGACAGTCCCTCCAAGCAGGTTCCAGCATGTGCTCGGGATCAGAAGGAGCCACAGCGAGCCACCATCACCCATCTGTGTGTTGCTGTGCTGCAGACTGGCCTGGAGGGCCAGACGGGGCCCAGGAAGAGAGTCCCACCCTACCCCACAGGCTGCTCCCCAAGCGCCAGGGAACAGCAGAGCTTCCTGGGAGGCTTGGGAAGTGCAGGTGGCTGGGCCATCCCAAATGTGTGCTTGGCAGGTTGCAGGGCAGGCCTGGGACTCTGCATTTCTGTTAAGTCTCTGGCTGCTCTGACCAGGGGCCACACTTGGAGAACTGCCACCCCGGAGCCTGTTGTCTGGGAGATGAGGGCTGTGTGATAGGCAAGGCAGCGGGTCACCACGAAGATGCTCAGAAGGTGATGAGCAGAAGGGAGGGCTCCTCCCCACTTCCGAGCATCTGTGGTTGCCAGGCAGCCAGTTGCCTTGGCAACAGATCTTATTAACCGCAGCCTAGGGATAAAGAGATCAAACCCCTGAGAAGGGAACGACTGGCCTGATGACACACAGCTAATGAGTTCCAGAGCCCAGACGCAGCCCAGAGCCTCTGACTCCAAGATGGAACCCTTCCGTCTGGCTCCTGGCCCACAGGAGAGCTGCGCTCGCTGGAGGAAGGGTCCTCAGGAGGCACCAGCACTGTGCCTTCACCACCAGCCGATTCAAAATTGAGAGCAAAGACTTCAAAGACATGGAAGGCATTTTCCACCGGAGGCATTTGCTGCAAAGCCAGACGGCGACGTCTGTGCCCCAGAAAGTTTCAAGAGTCTACCAAGCAACAAGACTGATTAATGCAGCTATGTTTGTTGAGCTACAGCTATGTCCTGGCCCTGTGCTCGGTGTCTGTGATGTAAGTGAGTGATGCCAAGCACTGGAAACCGCTTATTCCACTGAATTTGCTTTTCATTTAAAATGATAATTGTTTATTATACAAAATAATGGACATCAGAATTTTTCTTGACTGTATACAATCGTGCTAAAATACCATCATACAGAGTTCCAAAGGTGAGCACATTTAGGTGATACTAACATGGAAATCAGTTTTTAGGGAAATCGTAATTTTAAAAATCCATCTGACATATCAAATTAAAAAGCTTCTACATAGCAAAGGAGACAACCAACAGAGAGGAGACAACTGGGAAAAAAGTGTTTGCCAGCACTCCTCAGATCGGAGACTAACATCTAGAATACACACAGAACTCAAAAAATGAGACCTTACAACAACAACAAAAAAAAATCAAAAATGTACAACTGAGATGAGCAGATGCTTCTCTGAAGCACAAATGGCTAATAAACCCATGAAAAAGGTCCAGCATCTCTGGCCATTAAGAAATGCAAACCAGGACAGCACTGGGATGCTGTGGCACCCCAGGAAGAACGAGAAATCAAATCACAACAAGTGTTGTCAAGGTCTTGGGCGAAAGGGCCCCCTGGGGCCAGCGCTGGCGCCAGCTGCACCTCCAGACAGGCAGCGGGTGGACGTGCCCTCCACCCTGTGGCCTTGGGCTGAGCAAGTCCTCCTGCCCAACCCTCTGTGGGCGGAAATCATTACTGCACACATCCTCCACTCCTGGGGGCAGCTGGGGAATTGATGAGACAGTGCCAGTGACAAGGTCCTGCAAACAGCACCGCCTGGACAAATATTAGCTCTCCTGTCACATGCCAGATGGACCGCCCAGTCCCCACTCTGCCCTCACTGGAAGCTGGCCAAGTCTCTCATGCTCCAGCCTCAGTTTCCCCAGGGTGGGATCTGCACTAAGAGAGGGCTGCTCACTGTGCCTGCGGAATACGGTGGCTCACCCATGCTCTGCCTTTCTCCTGGGCTCCAGGCCAGCACTGGCCACCTGACCCCAAACTCAAACGGGGCCACTTTACACCTGGGGAAGAACGTATGGTATCAAACCAAACCATGCATTTTACATAACCCAAGATGCCAAATATTTTCCTTTTAATATGTGATCAATATAAAAATTATGAAGGAGACAGTCCAGCTACTTTTTTCTTGCATTAACTCTTCAAACGCTAGTCCTTTACACAGAACCACAGAATTGCCAAATAAAATGCACCAGCCTGGCATGGTGGTGCACACCCATAATCCCAGCACTCGAGAGACTCAGGCAGCAGGATCTTGGCAAGTTCAAAACCAGCCTGGGATACATACTGAGGTCAAGGTCAACCTGAGCCACAGTGAGACCGTGTCTCAAGTGTGAGGACACCCCACGTGCTGCGTGGGAGGACTTCTCACGCTAAAGCCCACTTCCTGTGGGTCTGAAGTTCACATTCCCAGGATGCCTCAGCTTTTCTCCCCTCCACCAGCCTGTCCTGCATGTCCAGAATGGGAGGGATATGGTCACATGTTCAGAGGCCACCTGCCTCGGAGGCTGGAAGGGGACGGCCAGGCCAGGGTCAGGGCCCAGGAAGCCCTGGAGAGCGGCCGTGCAGCCTCCGAGCCCCATTCCCCTCCGCAGCCTCCAGGCTTCACCTCTGCCTGCTGTTGACACTGTTGCGTCTGGAAGCAGCAACTCAATAAGCGTTTGCAGTACTGCCCAGCAGGGAAACGGGGCGCTGGGGGAGAAAGTCCCCATCTTGCCCCATAGTTCTTCCTATAACAAATGCCCTACATCAGCAAAAGCCAGATAAGACGGGGGCTGCCCGGCCAGGCGAAGCCCCGCCTGCCCCCTCCCTGGCGGTGCCCTGGGGCCGCCCCAGCTCGGCCTCACTTCCCTGGGCTGAGAAGCGCCAGGGTGGGCGTCGCTGAGCCTGGGCGCTGCCTTCTTCTGCCTCGGTTTGCACATGCAGGCACCAGGAAGCTGCAGACCGGCCTGGCCATGAGGTGGAGGCGAGGCCGCAGCCACCGGGAGTGGGCGGGGACAGAGACTCTGGCCGGCTCTGCTGTGGGCGGGGCGAGCACCAGGCCCGGGCACGTGGGCCACAAGCACAGCTGGGCCAGGGGCCAGGGGCCGGGAGCCCAGCCCGGCTCATTGCGCGGCTTCAGTGGGCCACGCACGAGGGACGCTGGGGACGCTTTATTCCAAAACGCCTAGAGCTGAAAGGCAGTGACAGCTGAGCGTGAAACCCAGTGACTCTTCAGACCCCCGGGGCTGGGCAAAGTTCGCAGCCCACAGCCTGCAGGGGTGGGGCAGGGCCGGCTCCTCTCAGCTCCCCACCCCAGCGCAGCCAGCCCCTGCCAGCCCTCCAGCTGCCCCTTGCATTGCCCCAGGCCCTGGGCACCAGCAGCCCCCAGGCTGCCCCTACAGCGTACCTGACCCTGGCATCAGCACTCTCGGGCTGCCTGTGGGTCCCATGCCACGCCCTGTGGCCCACTAAGCAGAACCAGGTTGAGAAGGGTGAGGCGTCGCAGGGGCTCAGAATTTAAAGCACACCATGCACCATCATGGTCAGGACACGCAAGGGCCCAGCAGCCTCCTTTCGTTTAGGTTTGGTTTGGTTTTTCTTGGTTTGGCTTGGTTTTGACACAGCGTAGCCCAGATTGGCTCAAACTCATAGCGATGCTCCTGCCTCAGGCTCTGAGTGCTGGTATTACAGGTGTGTGGACCATGCCCGGTTGTTTTGTTTCGTTTTAAAAAATTTTTTTTTGGAGTCAAGGTCTCACTCTGTAGCTCAGACTAACCTCAAACTCTTGGCAGTCCTCCTGCCTCGCGGCCTCGCAAATGCTGGGATTACATCTGTACACCACCACATCCAGCCCATGCAGTATTCTTAAAAATCAAAGTTCATGGGAAAAGAAATCCAGGATAGAGAAAATAACAAACATGTAAATAAAGACGGGGCTGGCAGTTCTGGTTTTTCTCTGCGAGGATTTTGTATTTCTTTAACATGTTAACACCTTATCCTGGCCTTTTTTGCATTCATTTTTATTTTCTCAGAAAACTGTGTTCTTTTTGATTGGGGAGAGTCCTCCTTTTCCTTAAAGTTTGCTGCGACAGTGAGGGCTCTACCTCGCCCCGCTAGCTCTCCTGATGGCCACCTGTAGGCCTCAGGTGCAGGTGGCAGAGGGAGCAGATGAGGTCACAGCTACACCAACCACGCAGAAAGAGCGGCTGGCGTGTGCCCAGCGCTGTGGCTGAAGGCCGCCCTGTGCACCCGACTCTACTCCACAAAGCCCGGCGTCCCCCGCGTGCCAGCCGAGCGCTGCTGCAGCCTGGGATAGCCTCCTGCCACGCAGAGCCCACGTTGGGCGGCACAGGCAGGGGACAGGGACAGCAGGAAGCACCCCATCAAGGTGTGAGCGGTGACCGGCAGCTAAGCGCGCAAACCCGGGTGCAGGGGGGGGGTCTGATGCCCCGCCCCGCCCCTCAAGTCTACCGGGGGTCTGTTACTCCGCCCGCTGTAGGTGGGCAGACTGAGGCTCCGGGCAGGAGGGCCACCAGCCAAGAGTGCCTGGCCAGGAAGGGGCAGGGCTGGATGTGGGACGGGCTGGTGACCCCGGGCTAGTGGTGGAGTGTGCCTCCCCGCCTCGCGCCTCCCCAGGAAGTGTGATCCTGGCGAACGGGGCGCAAGGAAGGTCTCCCCACTTAAAGGAGCTGTCCTCTTCCCTTAGGAAAAGATCAGCGCGGCCCATCCGGGATCTGGCGCCTCCTTAAGGGACGAGCCCCGGGGCGGGGCGGGGCTCCAGGCAGGTCAGCTTCCTCTCCCTGGCAGGTGGCCAGGCCAGGGCCTTTTAAGGCGGACCCAAGGGCAAGTGCAGCCTCCCAGGGGCCCCTGCTGACTCACGCTTATGAAAGTGTTTTCCTGGCCCCGCCCCCGCCGCCCCGCCTCCTGCGAGCCAGCCGTGAAATACCCGCGCCCGCGCGCACCAGGCTCCGATTCCCGGGGTCCCAGGCGTCCCGCTGCGGGCACCGTGACCACAGCCTCCAAGTTCCCGTCCAAGGCCAGGCCCGCAGGGCGCCCTCCACCTGCTGCCCGCCAGGTGAGTCAGCCTGGACTGGGCTGTGGAGTGGGAGGTGGCAACCAGCGGGCAGGGTGACCGGCCACCAAGGACCCCGCTGCGGGGCAGGACTCTGCCGCCCTGGGCCCTCCGGGTGCCTCCTCGCTGTGCCCGTGCAGGTGCCTGGCCGCCTGAGCCCGGTGCTGCGCGCCCCACCGTCCCGCCCCAACAACTACTGCCTGGGGCAGGAAGGAGGCGTGGCCAGTGGGCTTGCTGCCCAGAGTCCAGAGGCCACGGGGCCTGCAGCTGGACTGGGCAGGCACTGCCCTAGAGTGCCCATGTCTCTGCCTAGGGCAGCAGACCCCAAAGGGGTCTTGGGACTCAGCTTCTCACCGAAGGCTCTGGAGTGGGGAAGAGGGTGGCCCTAGGGAGGGGGCAGCACCCCAGTGACTAAGGGACAGTGGTCCTTGGTTGACAGCTGCTGCTTCCTCAGCCTCGTGCCCTGGGCTGGGCATCAAGGCACTTTTTACTTTTTAGAGATAGTTGTGTTAAGCCTCTAAAATGCCCCTGAATCCTTCTGCCTCAGCCTCCCAGAGTGCTGACTTACAGGCATGCTTCACCACAGCCAGCTGTAGGTTGCTCCATCGGGTACAGCTCTTACCTGCCACTTGACGCCCAGGGGACTTGTTCTTGGTGGGCAGAGCCAGGCTGTGCCTTGTGGGCATTCCTGGGTGACCTGGAGCAAGATGCCACCAGCGCCTGACTTCAGTTTCCTTCTCTGCAAGATGGGGATAAAGAAACCCAGCTCAAGTGTCACAAAGTGGGCACAGGACCTCTCGGGCCCACAGGGGCTTCTGTGCACTGGGGTGCAGTCCGCCCGACAGGGCCAGCACTGCAGGCTCAGACTTCCTTTGGAGGTGCAGCCCATTCCATTTTGTTTCTGCTTATTTGATTTATGAACTAGAATCACCAACTTTTAAGGGTAGCATTTTTCCCAACATCTGCCAATCAGAGGGACAAGGGGTAACATTAAAAATGGATTTTTTAAAAATTTTATTTAAGAGGAAAAAGAGAAAAACACAAAATAAAAATGGATTATGCCAGCCAGGTGACACACATCTGTAATCCCAGCACTCAGAGGCTGAGGCAGGAAGATTGCAAGTTTGAGTCCAGCCTGTGTGATTTAACAACTTAGCAAGATCCTACCTCGAAAAAAAATTTTTAATTTGTTTTTAAGGCTGGGGCTATAGCTCAGTGTGAAGGCCCTGGAGGGTAAGTCCAAGCCCACAAAAGTCAGTAAAAGGAAGCAGGATGAGGAGTGTTTGAACGATCGTAGGTTCACATGCAGCATACGTTTGTCCAAGGCTGAGGGAGAACTTTCAGCTGCTGGGGACCCGGGGATGTCCTGTATCACTGCACAGGAAGTAACCTCTCAGGTCCAGCCCCCGGGTGGTGACCTCATGCGTGTGGCGTCTAGAAGCTTCTGTTTAGTGCCTACGGGCTGGGAGAGAACACTGGATGCACAGAGCCCTGTTGGTAAACCCCACACCCAAGGGTGACACAGGACAAAGGTCCTGACTCCTCCCTGTCAGCGGGCACCAGGGCGCCTTCCTCGTGGGGGTGCAGGACAGTGGGGCTGTGGGACAGGCTGGACACTGGTTCCCAGGCAGGGGCTTTGCATGGGCTCAGCTCACAGGGATCAATTGAAGGATTCACAAGAAGCCACCTCCATAACGGTGCCCTGGTTAACGTGCATGGCACTCCACACCCAGCCCAGCTGTGGCCCTGGAGGACTGTGACGCGCCCTTGAAGTCACTGCTGCAACTGCTGCTGGTGTTGGGGTCACCCCCAGACTCCCCTGCCTGGACGGACGGACAGCACGGGCCCCCAGGGTCACTGGGAGGCCACCTTTGCTCTCCTTGGGGTGGGGCAGAAGCGCCAGTGCTGGGGACCTGGCGGTGCTGGACGCAGGTGTTTCCCCATACCAGAGGTCACCCATGGCCTCAGCTGGGTTGTGCTGACCTGTGAAGGTTTTGCAAAAACGTGATCCACTGCTGACCCCCTCCTTGTCAGAATTCACACCAAATCCACAGTTCCGCCGCTGCTGGAGGAGCCCTGGGGGATGAGGCCGGTGACCCCGGACCCACACTGACTACCTTTCCACTCATGGGTGTGTGACCTCCGAGAGCCTTGCAGGTCTGCTTTGGGGATAGGCCCTGTGTCACAGTGGCTACAGGCACCTATGAGCCCTGAGTGCGGTGGTGCACACCTGTAATCCCAGCACTCTGGCAGGCTGAGGCATGAGGATCAAAAGTTCTGGCTCACCCTGGGCCATTTAGCAATTTAGTGTTGCTCAAAATAAGGGTATGCGTGTGCACGTGTGTACGCATGTGCGTGCTGGGGAGCGCAGCTCAGTACAAAGGTCTTGGCTTCGATCTCCAACCCCAGTAAATAAATATTGGCCAAGCCATGGGTGTGGCCTCGCAGAGCCCCACTTCTCTGCTGGCCCCTGCAATGGGGCGATCACACTGGTGGTGCTTACACGTGCAGACCGGACGTAGGATCAGGGTGGAAGGGACAGTTAGCCAGACACCAGTACCCGGTCACTGCTCAGTGTCAGCTTCCCTCACTGGTGCGCGGCTGTCACCTGCAGGCCTCAGACTGCAGGGCTGTAGACAGGACTGGGGTGAGACTGTGCCCCGGAAACTTGCTGGGATGCAGAGAGAGCAGATCTGAGATCCCTGTGCTCAGCCCACCAAGGACTGGGCGGGTCCCTTGAGTGACTGGAGCTGTGGCCAGCAGGGGGCGCCAACACCCGGTGGACACACAGGTTTCCAGGCATGGCCTCAGTAAGCCCAGGCCTTTCCCGTGGGAGACTCAGCCCTGGCAGGAGCTGCACTGTGTCCTTCTGTAACTCTGACGCCAGGACTCTCAGATGAGGAAAGCAAGAGGCAGAGAGGCTCCAGGACAGCTCGGGCGCTGCTCACCAGTGCAGGGGACAACAGCAAAGTCCACCCTGCTGCACCTGAAGGCTGAGGCCAGGTGGTGTGGTGGGCAGAGACGGCCTTGTGGGAAGGCAACAAGCTTCCAGGCATCACCCTGTCCTGGGCAAGGTGGGCAGCGAAGGGCAGGGCTGAGATGGAGGTGCAAGGTGAGCCAGCCAACAGGAAGGATGAACGCCGGGAAGATTGGGGAGTGGCCGTGTATTAGTTCATTGCTGGGACATGATACCCAACACCCACGAGCCAGAGGAGGAAAGGTTTCTTTCAGCTCACAGTCTATGGAGGTTTCAGTCCACAGTCAGCTGGCCGGAAGGCGGGGTGGCACGGCAGAGGAGCCTCCCTTTCCCTTTTATCCCACCCAGGCCTGCAGTCTATTGGACAATGCCACCACACCCAGAATTCTGCTAAGCCAATCAGAGGATTAATTCAACATCACACGCCCAGGGCCCAGCCACCTCCAAAAAGCCCTGCCCTAGACTTCTCCCCGAGACAGGGAAGGAAAAGGGAGTCATGCCATGACTGGTCCCTGCACCCTGACTCAGCCTGAGGTCTCCTGAGGCCGCTGACCGCCTAACCCCTGCTTCTCCCCAGGCCCGCTGCCAGCCCAGCCATGAGCAAGCCCAGGAGGGACCAGGTCAGCACCAGCAGCTCGGAGCCCCTGCCCGTTGTCATCATCGGTGAGTGTCCCCCCAGGTGGGCGGAGGGGACGCACCCCGGGCCCAAAGTCAGCTCCCAACAGCTGCTCCTCCTGTGCTGGTGCTGCCCTGACTGCCGTGGTGTTTGGCTGAGGACTGAATAAATATTTTCTTTGCATGGATGACAGCCTAAAGGAAGGGGTAAGCACCGGGGGAGTCTGACCCTGCCCTGTCTCCGCAGGCAACGGGCCCTCGGGCATCTGCCTGTCCTACCTGCTCTCGGGCCACACACCCTACGTGAGTCCGGATGCCGCCCACCCACATCCACTGCTGCAGAGGAAGCTGGCGGAGGCTTCAGGGTGCTGTCTCCTGGACCAGGTGGGCCTCTGACCCGGGGCAGACCCTGTGTCCCACCTTGGGGAGTTGTGAGGTCAGGGCATCCCAGACCCACCAGGGCCACTGATGGTCCTCCAAGGGGGATGCTGGGCAGTTCTGAAGGCCCTGGCTGTCACAGCGGGTGCTGGACTATCAGGGGGCCAGGCATCGGGACCCCTTCAGTGCTCATCCAAGCCCTCCCACCCTGAGCCTGGCCCTCTGGCTGTGTCTGTGGGACCCCAGATTCTCTGTGCTGCATGCACAGGGCCCAGCAGAGTTCGACAGGTAGATGTCAGCTGCAGGACTCATCAGAGCCTTCAGCACGCGGATGCATCTCCCGACCCCGATGCCAGGGCAGAGACGCAGGCTCAGCCCGCTGCTCAAGTCCCCCCTACGATCCCGTTCCGCCAGGGGCCTCTCAGGCCTGCCATGGTCACCCCGGCCTTCTTCCTGTCCCTTCCTCCCTGACCCGTGCTCCCTCTGCAGGACCTGGAGTACCTGTCCGAGGGCCTTGAAGGCCGGAGCCAGAGTCCCGTGGCTGTGCTCTTCGATGCCCTGCTGCGCCCAGACACAGACTTCGGGGGCACTGCAGACTCTGTGCTCTCCTGGAAATGGCAGGAGGAGCGCGCCATCCCCCACCTGGTCTTGGGGTGCAGCCCGCCCGGGGGCGCCTGGCATGTGAGTGGGGCTGTCCGGGGCTCCCTGCCCACCCTCGCTGGCTTCTGCCCCCTTCCCTGGAGCTCCCTCCCAACCCAGCCCCCTGCCCGAGGCCAGCCCTGAGGACCCCTTGCCTTTCAGGCCATCGAGGGCTCCATGGTGACCCTGAGCCAGGGCGAGTGGATGGGGCTTCCCGACCTGCAGCTCAAGGACTGGATGCGAGGGAAACGCAGGTGAGATGCTGGGGACAGAGAGGCCTTCAGGAGGGGAAACTGAGGCTCAGACAGGAAAAGATGGGCCAGCAGAGGGCGAGAGTGAACTCCGAGGGGGCTCTCGGGTCCCGTGCTCCATGCCCCCACCACAAGGCCCAGCTGAGCCTCAAGTGTGCAGCACGCCAGCCTTTAACAAGGACCTGAAAAGCCCCTGCTCCCCAAAAGTGACACTTTAGAATCCCAGGCTGGACGCAGGCGGAACCCCAGGCCCGCCCCAGAGACCAGAGCAGCTGGACAGCCGGACAGCCACAGGAACAGGCGGGACACACGCACTCCGGCCTCTGCTCAGCCGGGTGCACAGGAGCATGCCGATGCCCCTGGGAGGCCACCTCACAGGACAGCCGTGTCCTCTCTCTGGGCTGTCCCTGCGATGGGAAGACCCAACCCTCAGAGTGAATGGGAAGACCTGCGGACAGAAAAGCTTCCCTTTCAGCCCCTTATGTTTTAACATTATATCCCAAGCATCTCCCTCTGGCAGGACACAACCTTGTAACCATCCTTTTACGTGGCCTAGTAATACTCCCAACACACTTCCTGTGAGCTGGTTTAGCAAGGTTCTGTTGCATTCTTATCACGAGCCATGCCCTGCATTTAGAGATTGAAGCAGAAGCCACACCCACCTCACCTAGTGCCCTGTGGCCTGCCATGGTCACAGCCCCTGCTGGCCTGTCATTTTTTAAATAACCCCTCTTGGGCCCTCCTCTTAAGACAGGTCTTTGTGATGTTTTTTACAAAAGTGGAGATGGGGCACACCAGGCCCTGGCTCCACTCCTGAGCTCTGGCAAGCAGGAAGCCTGCGGTGTCACCTGAGCACGTGCTGTGACCCAGCCACTCAGCAAACACAATCAGCTACCCTCAGCAGGAAGCAGACCCCAGGCACCCCAGGTCTCTCTCCATGGGGCGTAGGGCGCCAGGGCGAAGCCAGGCCCAGGACTCAGTCACCAGCGACTCTGGCCCCAGCTCTTTCTGATTCTAATTTTTTTCTTTTTAAAATCTGAGACAGGTTCTCGCTAGATTTCCCAGGCTGAGCTAAACTTCTGGTCCTTCTGCCTCAGCCTGCTGGAGTGCTGGGAACACAGGCGTGAGCCACCACCCCTGATGTTCAGTGGAATATGTTTTGTTTTGCTTTGCTTTGTTTTTTGGATTTTGAAGACAGGGTCTTGCTATGTACCCAGACTAGCCTTGAACTCACAGCAGTCCTCCTGCCTCAGCTTCCCGAGTACTGGGATTACAGGTGGGTGCCAGTGCGCCCAGCTCAAAGAAATCATTGTAAAGTCAGCATTTAAACTGAAGTACAGAGAAGCGTCCCGCTTCTGAGTACAGGCTGCCTAGCAGCAGTTTACAAAGAGGGGCTCACGCTGTATTTCCATGCCACGTTAAGTCCCCCTGTGCGGTGACCAGGGCGACCAACCAACTTGTCACCGACTGCTTGGGCCAGTCCCGGTCTCTAGTCTCCAGGGAGCCTCTTGATGTGGTCATCACTCTGGGTTCACAGTGAAGAAATTGAGGCACATGGGGCTGGGATTTAGCTCAGTGGCATAAGCGCCTGCCTTGCAAGCAGGCAGTCGTGAGTTCGATCCCTGGTACCGATAAAAAAGAAAAAGACCAAAAAAAGAAACTGAGGCACAGAAGCCTCGGCTGTAGAGCCAGGACCTGAACCAGCTCTGGAGGCCATGCTCGGTCCCCCACACCTGGCAGAGGGAGGTGACGGTCAGCGGCGTCTCGCCTGGCTACTCACTGGCACCCACCCCTCCTGCCCGCCCACAGGGGTCTTCGCAACAGCCGCGCCACAGCCGGGGACATTGCCCAGTACTACAGGGACTACGTGAGCCAGAAGGGTCTCAGCCACAACTTCGTGTCGGGCGCCCTGGTCACGGACGTGGAGATGGGGACCCCTGAGCCCACAGACCCCAGCCCCCTCTTTCGAGTGAGCGGCATCCTGACCACCAAGGCCCAGGGCCAGCGGCCCTTCTCGCTGTGGGCCCGCAACGTGGTCCTGGCCACGGGCACGTTCGACAGCCCAGCCCGGCTGGGCATCCCGGGTGAGGCGCTGCCCTTCGTCCACCACGAGCTGTCAGCACTGGAGGCGGCCACACGGGCGGGCACCGTCACCCCGGCCTCGGACCCTGTGCTCATTGTGGGTGCTGGGCTGTCGGCAGCCGATGCGGTCCTCTATGCCCGGCACTGCGGTCTCCCTGTTATCCACGCCTTCCGGCGGCGGGTGGACGACCCCGGCCTGGTGTTCAACCAGCTGCCCAAGATGCTGTACCCCGAGTACCACAAGGTGCACCAGATGATGCGGGAGCAGTCGGCCCCGTCGCCCAGCCCCTACGAGGGCTACCGCAGCCTCCCCCAGCACCGGCCACTGTTCTTCAAGGAGGGCCGCCAGGCCGTGCTCTGTGACCCGAATGGCCAGGACCAGGTCCTCAGCGTCTCCCTGGTGCTGGTCCTCATCGGCTCGCACCCCAACCTCTCCTTCCTCCCAGGGGCAGGCGCCAACCTCACCCTTGACCCCGAGCAGCCCCTGAGCGCCAAGAGGAACCCCATTGACGTGGACCCCTTCACCTACGAGAGCACCCGCCAGGAAGGCCTGTACGCCCTGGGGCCTCTGGCAGGGGACAATTTTGTGAGATTTGTGCAGGGCGGGGCCCTGGCCGCAGCCAGCTCCTTGCTGCAAAAGGAGATCCAGAAGCCCCCCTAGTGTCCAGCTGAAGCCCTGGCACCCAGGCTCTGAGAGGAGGGAGATCACACAGTCCTGGGGACCCCCCAAGGTGCCCCATGAGAACAAGAGATGGGGAGCAAGAGCCACAGAATGAGGGGCCCAGGCTCCAAGGCCAGAGCAGGGACCAAAGGGATCTGGGGGAGGCTGCCAAAGGAGCCAGTCCCCAGGGCCAGCAGAGTGCCCACCAGGACAGTTGCAGCCTGGTTCCTTACAGAGTCAGTCTGTAAAATAAAATCAGCATCTGCCGCCACTGCGCCTGAGGACTCTGCTTGGGAACAGAGGGGTCCCCGAGGGGGCGGCCTGGGACTGGGGGACAAGGGCAGGGGGAGCCGTGCTAGCCAGGAGGGGTGTGCAGGTAGCCCCACTGCTCCAGCCCGTCCCTGTCTGTCTCACCTCTGCTCCGGATGTTCTGCGCCTGCCCGCCCCTGGCCCTTTGCACAGGCTGCCTCTAGCCCAGGGCTACCTTCCGCTCTCTTCTACGCCTCTTCCTTCAGATCGCCTAGCGTAAGCATCACTGTCCTGCAAAGGCTCCGGCCACAGCCTTCCAGGCCGCCGAGGGGGGCAGCCCCTCAGCGCTGCCCAGGGCAGATCAGCTTGAGCTCTGCATTTACACGTGGGCTCGATTCAGGGCCCGGTCCCGAGGGCTCAGGCTCAGGTCTCCTTCGCCCGCCACCGTCACCTGGACTCGCTGCCCAGCACCAGGCTTGGTGCCCGCTGGGGCGCGGAGGGCGGTGCCGGGCAGGGCTGAGGGGATTGGGGCGCGGGCGCTGGGCCCGGATTCGGCCGGCAGAGGGCGCTCCGAGCTCGCCGGACCCCGCGCTCCGGCCCTGCGGCGGCGGTGCCAAGGGGGCGGGGGGCCGCCGGGCACTCTCGGGGGCGGCCCCCCGGAACCCCCCGCGCCCCACAGCCCGCCCCCGCCCCCGGGCAGCGCCCCCGCGCGGCGGGTGGGGTCCGGGGTGGGGTCCGGCGGGGTCCCCTCCCCCGCGCCCCGGGCTGGGCGGCCGCGGGAGGCGGGGCGGCGGCGGGCGGCGCCCGAGGGTCGCGCGGGGGCGGCGGCGGCGGGGGTCGGGGTGCGGGCGGCGGTGCGGGCGGCGGGCGGCGGGCGGCGCGATGTGCGAGCGGGCGGCGCGCCTGTGCAGGGCCGGCGCGCACAGGCTGCTGCGGGAGCCGGCGCCGCAGGGCCGCGCGCTGGGCGGGCTGCTGCGCTGGGTGGGCGCCAGGATGGGCGAGCCGCGGGCCCCGCCGCCGGCCCCCGCCGCGGACCCCGACCCCGACCCCGGCCCCGGCCCCGGTCCTGGCCGCTCAGCCCCGCGCGGGGGCACCGCCGTCATACTGGACGTGAGTACGCGGCCCCTCCACCCCCCGGGGACCCCGGCCGGGACCCCGAACCCCGCGATCCCGACCCCACCGCGCGCGCGGCCCCGCCCCCCTCACCTGCCGCGCGGACCTGGAGCCCCGCGCCCGGCCACCGCCCCCAGCTTCTATCCTAACCGGATCCCCTGCTCCGGGCGCCCGGAGCCACCGCCAGCTCCTACTTTTCTGAGCCCCTCAGCAACCCCTGCACCGCTTCGCCTCTCTCCTGCGCCCCAGAACCCCACCCTGTCCCCATCCCCAGAGACCCTCGGCCCCTCGCCCCCGACTTTGGAGGCGCCTCCATCTGCCTCTGAGCTGCCTGAGTCCTGCCCGTGTGCCCCCCAGCAGCGGGCTCTGGAGCCCCCGCCTTCCGTTTCCTTCCCTGATCCTCTCCTCACCTGAACCCCAGGTGGACCCCGACTTTCATCTCCTATCTCCCACTGCTTTTTCCTTCATGGACCCCAGGCGCGCCCCCACGCCCCTCTAACTCCTCACCTGGTCCCCAACCACTGCCCCTGGGGAGTGCATTAGGCTCCCACGTGAGGGTGGGGGCAGCCGGGGGGGGGGGGGATGAGAGGTTCTCCCCTTAAAGAGGCTGATCAGGTGGAGGAAACTTGGGGTCAGGTGGCAGAGGGTCCCGGGGTGCCCCAGCGCGATTTGGCTGTGTGTTTCTGTGTGTACAGCACATGCCTGCTGGGGAGGGGGTCCTGTCTCTTTCTCTCCCTTCCCTTTTCGATCAGGAACCCATAGATGGGCTGGATGGGGTGTAAGGGGACTCTAGTGCCTCAGGGCCACACGTGCGCGCGCACACACACCAACACTCGCGCGCGCCCGCGCACACACGCACACACACACCGACACGCACGCGCGCGCACACAGCAGGACTCAGCGATCTGCTCTCCCAGGACCTAGGCCTGGGCAGAGGCCCCTCCTGCTAGCTCCCTCTGGCTGAGACCTGCCTGGCCTGGAGACCCCATTCCTCATCGGTGAGGTGGAGTGATGGGCTGGGGAGTGCCCAGGCTGCACCACGCCATGGCCATCGGTCTGCTGTTCTGGGGGTTCTGAGGACACCTGGACGGGGCCCAGCCTTAAGAACCTTGCCAGTCAGAAGCAACCATGTAGGTGTTCAGGCTTTCACTCTGAAGGGACATGGGGTCCCCCGGAGGTGGGGTGATGCTGGGCAATTCTCCGCAGCCCTGCTTCCCCCCCTGACAGCCCAGGGCCTGTAGCAGGGGCAGATGCCTGGCCCTGGCTTGGAGGATAGGGGGTAGGAGGGCACTTGCCCTTGCCGCAGGGTGGGCATGGAGGTGGGAGGGGTGTCCTTCAGGGTTCCCTGAACAGAGGACACCTCCCTAGTGTCCAGGAACTACTGGGAAATGGGCATGTTGCCCCCTCCCTGGGCCTCAGTTTCCCCATCTGAAATAAGCCAGTTCCACTGGGTTGGGGCTGCCCTGGGATATTTTGCAGACACTAAGTCTCCGGATTTCAGGCTCACTCAGGTTCTGCTTCATGGGTCCAACACTGTATGCCTTGGACTCCCAGGTGAGGCAGGTGCCCTGGCCAGCCCCTAGGCGTGGACACCTGCTGTTACAGGAGCTGCCGGTCATGGGTTCTCTGGCAGGGACTCCGCCTAGGTACAGTCCCAGGCAAGTGTCAGGAGCACAAGGGAAGGGACTGCGGCCTTAGCCTGGGCACCCAGGGCTCCTGCCTCCAGCCCGTATCCAGGCTGCTGCATGCCTCCTTCAGAGAGTTGCTCCAGGAGGCCCCTGAGGTTAAAGGGGCTCCCCGAGGGGCTTCCCATGGGACTCTGCGCCCCAGTGTGGCCGCTGGGAGCTGGGGGGCTCTGCAGGGTTGTGTGGGCGTGCGTGAGTGTGCAGCGCCAGCGCCTGACGTCCGTGTGGGCAGAACGAGCGAGCGCAAACAGAGCAGGGGCGGCTGCTTCCGAGGAATGGCAGGGGCCCGCCCCAGCCTCCACCCCGGCCCCGCCAGCTAGGGTCTCCTCCCCCGGGAAGGGGAAGCGGAGTGCAGCTTTCCCAGCTCAGAGCTGCTCCTGACATTGGGGTGAGGGGCTCAGTATGGGGCAGAAGCCGCTGGGGGGCGCCGGCACCTCCTCCTGCTCAGGTCTGACCCCTCTTTTTCTCTGCAGATTTTCCGCCGTGCTGACAAAAATGGTGAGTTACCACCCTGCTGTCCACAAGTAGGACCGGCCCTCTCTGTCCTGAGGCTTCAGGGACAAGGAGTTGGGGAAGGATTCAGGCAAGACTGAAGTCAGAAAGCCTAGCCCTACCCTGTCTGTCAAGCCCCTGCCTAGAGAGCAGCCCGGAGGATGTCGGAACGGGTTCTGGCTGGTGGCTGCAAGCCTTGGGTCCTTCTGCCCTGTGCACTTCTCAAGGCCCAGGCTGGGACCCAGAGGCTGCCCTTTGGGAAGCACGCCGAGCCTGGCACACACCTCTGCATGGGCACCCAGTAGAGTGGGCACTGGTGCCCTGTCCTGCAGCACCTGATGACCCAGTAGTGCCTGAGGGTCACCAGCTAATGAGCAAAGCCCAGGCTGCCTCAAAGACCCCAGCGTTGTCCCCCCATCCCTCAGGCCTCTAAGCAGGGAGCAGCCTGTGGTGGTGGCCTGGGGATTCGTGGACCCCCAGCCCTTTGGTCTTTGGGAAGAATGCAGCCCCCAGGAAGGCTGGTCCACACCCTACAAGGGAGAGAAACAGCCTCACTGCTTGTCATGCACACCAGTTACTGGGTTCAGCGTGTTTTGTGGACTTCTGCCAAGGCAGTGCCTCTGTGGGCCTCAGTTTCTCCATCTGTAAACTGGACTTTAACACCTGTCCAGCTGAAAGCCCTGGGCTTTTGAGGCTGAGGTCTGGAACCAGCCCTGCCATCCCTGGGGGTTCCCATTGGGTGGGATGGGGGGCAGGGGTGCACAGGTCTGATCTGGAATTGTTTTGAGGGACCGCTCCCTGAACCCATCCCTGGGGTGCTGGGATGCCTCCCAGGCCTCGGGGTTCAGGGTCACCAGCAGTGAGTCTGTGGTGCAAAGGCAGGAAAAGGTTTCGGGGAGATTAAATGGCACTCAGAAAATGCATGGCCTGCAGAGCCTTTGACATGAGCTGGAGGAGGCCTCTTCTCCGCATGGCCCTGGCCTCGGGGTCACTGCTGTGTGTGGCAGCGTGGGAAGCCTGGGATTGGGGATGTGGCATTGTTTCTTGTCCCCAGGCTGAGTTGCTTTGTGGCGGGTTCTGGGTGTGGCCACGGGGTCTGTGCGGCTGTCATCTCCGTTGCCTCTGCACCCTGCCTTGTGTGCCCAGGGTGCATGCCTCCGATTTGTGCTGCGGTGCGTGGGCAGCACCTGTCCCCCAGGCACATGTGGGTGACACCCTCTCTGGCCACCCCCCGCCCCTGCCAGGCTGCCTTCCACCCCCTGACTGCAGCTGCAGGCACCTGTCTCCTTCCTGCAGCCCCCACGGAGGCTGGGCCTGCTCCTCCTCTGGGACCTGCTAGCCCTCAAGTCTGAGGGCAGTTGTCACCAAGGTTGATGTGGGTGTGACACACTGTTAGCAGTAGGAGTCTGGGGGACCTGGGCTTTTTCCTGCGGCCCCTGCAGGGATGGTGCTTGGTTAGCCTGGAGCCCCACTGCCTGTGTTCACGTCCCAGCTCAGCCCGTATGCCTTGACCCCAAGTACGTCGCCACACTGGGGCTCTGTGTCCTCGTCTGTAGATGGGGTCAGCGTCGGTACCTGCATCCCCTTGCCCCGGCTCCTCCCTAAGATCCCAGAGCACTTGTCACACACCAAAGCGGGAGTCACCCTTCTCCTGACATAGCCACTCCGCTTTCCCCAGTGGACAAAGCCAGGCTAGCAGCTGGCCCGTGGGCAGTGGGGCCAGCAGGTGCTGAGTGGTCACCAAGGTTAAAAACATGGTGTGTGTGTGGGAGTGGGCAGTCAGGGAAGTAGTGTGTGAGTAGGTGTGAGAACAGGTGTGCACGCAGGTGCTGGCATGGGTGCAAAGAAAAACACCCACAAGGCACCCACAGGAGGGGCTGCCAGTGGGCTCGGGGAAGGGCGATGGGCCTGGGGCTGTGCTCAGCCTGGCTGCAGGGTGCACGGCAGGAGCCTTGGAGATTAAAGGAGCAAGGAACGAGCTGGGCCTGTCGTGGGGCTCCTGTGACACAGACGGGCTGGAGGAGCCAGAGCAAGGGCCCTGCCCAGCAGCCTGTGTGGACCCCAGAAAGGTCCAGGGCAGCTGGTGCGGAGGGGCCGCCCCGAACACCCCCTTAGGGGTGTTGTAGCCGCCAGCCTCTTGGTGTTTGAAAGGTCTCTGAATCAGCTCCTTCTGGTTGTTAGCACCTGTGAGAGGCCCTGCCCGGGACCTCAGGCAGAGGAGGAGGCACCCGCCCACTCGGTGTGGGAATTTGGGCTCAGTCTGGGTGGAGGTGCTGATCCCTCGTGAGTGCTGGGGGCTCATTAGGCCCGTGGCCAGGCGTGCTCGGTAAATGTCAGCTGAGAGGGCTTTGTGATCCAGGCCCGCCAGCTTCTGCCGTTCTCCTGGGGCTCGGAGGGCACCGAGGTGCCAGCATAGACGGAAAGAGGCAGAGGGGGACCAGGGCCTGCTGGGGCCGCCCCTGCTGTGCCAGGGGCAGGCATGGCAGCTCAGTCGCAGCACACATCTGCCGCGCCAGGCTCGGCTGGCACCCCCCCAAGATAGACCTCCCCCAGCTGGCCCTCAACGCAAAGGTAGGCGTGTGTGCCAGCACCCACGGTGGCTGGGAGATGGGGGCCATGCCACAAGTTCCTGCCCTAGGTGCCTGGAGGATCGGGGCTCAGGCCGCAGCTTCAGGACTGCTCTGTGCCTCAGTTTCCCCTCAGTGCAATGAAGGAGGGAAAGGAACCCTGGGAGTGGAGCAGGTGACACTGAGGCCAGGCAGAGGGCCGAGAGTTGGCCTGGGCTCCCGAGTGCCCTGTGTCCCTAGCTGCCTTCCTTGGTGTCTGGTCTGACCCTGCCCCACGAGGTTCAGACAGCACTGTGCCCAGCACAGAGAGGGTAGCAGAGCACCAAGTTCCCTCGCACACCGGCTTAGCTCATCTTGCCTGTGGCCGAGAATCAGGCCGGTTAACCAGCGCTCCCCCATGTGGTCTCGCAGAGTGGGTGAGAGACCCACCCAGCGGGAGCAGACACTGCGTGTCGAATGCCTGTGAGATACCTGGTCCACTGCAAGCCCTGCCAGCCAGCTCGGGCTTGTTTGTCGGGCTTAGGGCATCACCTATCTGGTGAATTACCAGATGAATGAGGCCTAGAAGCAAACTGGGTATGCAGAGATGCTCTGGAGTAGAGCCCGGGGTGGGTGCGGTGGTGCACACCTGTAACCCCAGCGTTCTGCACAGCTGAGGCAGGAGGATCACAAGTTTGAGACCAACTAAGCAAGTTGGCCGTTTAGCAAGACCCTGTCTCAAAAAGTGGGTTGGGGCTGTGCTGAATGTGAAGGCCCTGAGTTCAACCCTAGTTCTGCAAAGGATAATAAATAAAAGGGAGTGTGTTTGGCAGCGGGAATAGTGGGCAGGGTGATCCAGGCTGGAGCGTATCTGTCCATCGGAGCCGCCTGGCCGGGGTGTGCAGCTCTTATCTCCACACACCAGCTGCTGTCCCCTCGGCCCTGCAGATGACGGGAAGCTGTCCCTGGAGGAATTCCAGCTCTTCTTCGCAGATGGCGTCCTCAACGAGAAGGAGCTTGAGGACCTCTTCCACACCATCGACTCTGACAACACCAAGTAGGTCCGACGTGCGGGTCGGGGCCTCGGCTTCCGGTCCCTGCAGCAGCAAGAGGCCTGAGCCCCCACCGCAGCCCCCTCCTCCGGAGCCCCATCAGTGTGGCCCCCCTGCCCAGTTAGGTGGGGAGCGGACGGGGTGGTTCTGCCAGCATGAGCAGTGTGGCCACACCCTCGGCTTTGCACAGTGCCCAGTGACCGGGACAGCAGGAGGGTGGCAGGGACTGTCCTGCTGGCTCCCTCTGCTCTGAGTCCCAAGCCTGACTTGGGGCCCTGTGTTTTCTCTGGCCTCGGCCCTGGCCTGGTACAGGCCCATTTTAAACCAGACTATAACCAACGCTGGCCAGTTCTACACCAGTAGCCCCTTGACCCTTCTTCCCGTAGGGCCATAGCCCCAGCCCGCACCCCACCCACAGCTACACACTGCGCCCGCCAGCCTTGATGACACCCACCTTTTCTGTGGGTTCCCATGCAGGGGGCAGCCTGAGCTCCTTGACCCACCCTCGGGGTTGGGGGTGGTCAAAGTGACCTGCTCACCTTCCTTGGGCCCACTCAGGGTGAAGATGAGTTTCTAGGGGGCTGCTTGGGGCAGAATGGATAATTTGGGGGCATCCTGAGAAAACTAGAGATGGCCTAGACCAGGGGCTGCCACCAAGCCTGTTTGCAAGGCCCCTAGTTCACTGGCGGCCTGGAGCAGAGACTCGCTGAGTCGGAGGTCTCTACCTTGTGGGTCTCAGCAGGATTCTGGATTGCCCTCTGCAGGACTTGCCAAGGCCAGGGTGGGGCAGCGGGGCAGATGAGCCCCCTCGAGGACCCACGGCAGTCATGGCCACCTCCATCCAGGCCGTCCCCACATCCTGGCCCTGGCTTAGCCCAGCCTGGGCCCCATCTCCCCCTGGCTGACTCAAAAGGAACTGGGCATGGGTCTGGGGAGCAGGCAGCAGGCGCTTCTGTAAAGGGGGCTCAGTGACAGATCTGCTACTCTGTCTCCTCTCTCTGCAGCCACGTGGACACCAAGGAGCTGTGTGGTAGGTGCACAGGGTGGCACAGGGTAGGGTGGCACAGGGTAGGGTGTGCTGGGGCGGGGAGGGACCAGGAGGCAGGCACCAGTGGGGTTGGTGGGAGCCAGCACCCCTTTACCCCCGCCCTTCTTCTGCCCTCCCCAGATTACTTCGTGGACCACATGGGGGACTATGAGGACGTCCTGGCCTCCCTGGAGACCTTGAACCATTCTGTCCTGAAGGCCATGGGCTACACCAAGAAGGTCAGCGGGGACAGGGCACCCCGAGCCGCTGGAGCCTGAGCTCTGATTTGGTTCCAGGTTTTTCTGGGTGACCTTGATGACAGCTGCCAGCCCTGGGACTTGCTAGGGGCACTGCAGGGGCATTGAGATAAACTGTGAAGTCCATGGCACAGCTTGGTGAATGGCCCTGTCCAGTCAGGTCTGGTTTGGAGTGTGAGACCCAGAGTGAACCTGGAGTGACCAGGAGTCCTTTCCCACTGTCCCCACCCAGAGTCTCTAGTCCCCTTGTCTCCCAGCTGCCCAGCAGGAGGACAGGGAGCTGTGTGGTGGAGCCACAGGCTTCCTCCAGGCCCTGGGCTTCTGTACCCTGATGACACTGGCCCCTGTGCCCTGTCCCCACTGCTGTGGCCCTGTGGCAGCCTGGCCACACTCACATGCAGCACCAGCATCTCCCTGACACCTCCCGGGAGCCCAGGGCACCTACATCTCCTCCGCATTGCACAGATCTGAGGTGGGCACAAAATGTCCGACCCGCACAGCTGCAGTTGGTCAGGTCTGCTGCTGGCCAGAGAGGGGACTGAGTCAGGCCCGCAGGAATGGTGGCGGATGGAGCGAGGGGAGGGGAAGCGTGGGCCCGCAGGGACAGAGAGGGACATGCAGGTGCCTGGGCTGCAGCCCGTAACCACAGGCACCTTCGGAGGACCTGGCCCTGCTTGCTGCCCGGGTGAGAGGGAGTCACCTCCTGCAGGTTGTGGCGGGACAGCGTGGGGCTGGTGGCCAAGCCGCTCCCTGCAGGGCTGCGCCTCATCAGAGGTCCCCGTTCCTGCCCAGGAGTAGTTTAAGACCAGCTCCATCCGTTCTCCAAAGGACACCCAGTCCCTGTCTGCGTGGATCCAAGACTCCCTCTCTGACCACGGTGCCAATGCGCTGGCACCTCTCCAGCTCCTGCTGACCTGTGTCGCAGCAGGCGGAGCCCTGAGGTTTGAAGTGGCTCCCTGTCTGCACAGCACGCCCTCTGCTGTCCCAAAGTCCCGCCTGGAGGTTTGGGGCAGGAACCCCGCCCCATGCTGCCGGCTGGCCTTGGGTCAGTGATGTCCAGGAATGGGAGAGGCCCTGCACCGGGAGGGGTCCCCGAACATCACCCTGCCGCTTGAGATGATGCGCTGTGTGGGTGGCTGTTGGTGGCGGGAGGTCCTCGCAGCATCTCTGAGGCATCGTTCCCTGGCAGGCCTAGCTGTTTGCAGAAAGGCAGCTCGCTGCTTGGACTTAAGTTGAGTGCTTTGCTTTTGTGACTGCGTGCTGACCTCGGTCAGTTGTTCCCAAGCAGTGTTCTCTGTGTGCCTCTCCCTGGAAACCCTCAGCCCCCTATCGGAGCTCTTGGGGCCCCATTTTCCCCGATGACGCCACACCGGGGCCCCTGTTATGCCACCCCGTGGTGTCTCTGCATGCATCATAATATTAATACCAGCGTTTATTTTAGACTCTAGCCTGTTACAGAAATATTTTTGCCTTCTCTTTGTTAAGATTTTGTCTCAGGAGGTGGTAGCAAATTTTTTCGAATGCCTTTTTGGTTTTTATAGACGATCTGATGATTTCGCCGCTGCTATTGATGGAGTGGGTTCTATTTTTAGATTCTCATATTGAACAGTCTGCGGTAAACTCTCACGGGAACATTACTCTTTTATCATCTGGCACCATCCGTGCCACTCACCGAGCGTGTCCTCTCTCTCTGTGGGGACAGATATGGGACGATGGCTCGGGAGTGAGCCGGGAGGTGATTTGAAAATGTTTCCTGGGTGTGATTCAGCTTCCATGTCTGAGAATCACTTTTCTGTTCAAAAAAGGAATTGGGTTTTTTTTCCGTCTTTTTCGGGACCACGGATCGAACTCATGACCGCACGCTTGCAAGGCAGGCGCTTATGCCGCTGAGCTAAATTCCCAGCCCCTAAAAAAAGAATTGGTTTTTGTATCCACTTTGCTATGGTTTTGAATAATTATCCTGAACAGCTTTGGTTTTCTGATCTAATGTATATCAGAGAGTTTTAGGATTATTTTTAAAACCTGAAAACACTGTGACACTTTTAAAAGAGGCGCCAGGGGCCGGGATACAGCTCAGCAGCACAGCACCTGCCTGGCAGGCTCCAGGTCATGAGTTCGATTCCTGGTACCAAAATAAATAAATAAAAGAGGCACCAATGGGAAACAAAGTCTATAATGACAGTCACGGTTTTATTTTAAGTTTGATCCGATTTCCTGCTTTCTTTCCTTCTTCTGGTGGAGGGGAACAAGGTCTCGCCGTATAGCCCAGGCTGGCCCCGAACTCCCGAACCCTTGCCACCCTCTTGCTCAGCCTCCGGAGGGCTGGGATTACAGGTGTGAGTCCCCACGCCTGCCAGACTCCCTGCTAACTCTTATTTTGACAGAGGTTGCCTGTGGGAATTGGCTGCTCTCGACTCCGGGCCTGACACTTGGAAGTTTCAGTGCTGTTCCCAGCGTCTGTGCTGTCCCCGCCCTGGGATGTTCTCCTCCTCGGCCTCTGTGGCTGCAGCTGCTCTTCCCTGTATGTGAAGCGGGTGCCGCAGGGTGGTTTTCCTTCTCATAGAAAGAAGTTCGAAATTAAAAGAAGTTACCCTGCAATGAATTTCCGCAGCTGCCAGAGCTTCCAGTGTGTGGAGGTTTTGCTCTCGGAATGTCTGCTTCTCCCTGGTCACTTCTCACTTCCTTGTGTTTTGGTAAAACCAGGTGTCACAGTCAGGGTTTGCAAGAAAACAGTTGAATACAGGACATGGAATTTATAGGATTATTTATCATAGTCACCCCAAAAGTCAAATATAAAAAGTGCAGGAAATCTGTCCACAACACTAAGACCCAAACAAGCCAGCTGAGGGTCTGGACCCTACAGTAATGTCCTGCATGAGTCCAGCTGAAGACCTAGAGCCCATGACAGTGCCCACCCTGAGTCCTACAGCCCACAACAGTGACTCATGCAAGTCTGCACTGGGAGGGCCCCGAGGTCAGCGGTGGAAGCTAGAAAGTCTGCCCCGTGGGATGAAGGAGCTGTGGCAGCAGCTGAGGAATCCGCCCTGGAGCCAGGAAGCGATGCTCAAAGTAAGGACCAGGGCTCCCCTGAAAAGCACCACAGCCGTCCTCAGCAAAAGTGAGGTCCCGAGCTCCTCCAGTGATGAGACCAGCCGAGTTCACATCAGGAAGCCAGTGTGACAAGCTGCTCCGGGAGATGGAACAGCACACATCTTCCCCTCCAGAGCCAGGGAGCGATGTTCAAAGTAGGGACCAGAGCTCCCCCAAAGTGAGCCGCAGCCATTCTCAGCAACAAGGCCCCCAGCTCCTCTCATGATGAGAACAGTGAAGTTCATATCAGGGAAGAAGCTCACGGGGCTCCTCCAGGAGAGCCCACAGGAGCAGGAGACCCAGCAGTACCACCTCTTCCTCTCCAGTCCTGTTGTTGGTAGCCATCCTCGGGGCCCTCCGCACCACGCTGATTCAGTTCAGCTGGGCATTACAAGCTGCCCACCAGATGTCAGACCCCACACCTAGTGACCAGGAATCTTTCTTCTGACTTACAGTGTCCTGAGGGATCTTCATGGTGTAAGATTTCATTTGTTTTTACAACTCTCCCATGAACTCTAAGGAAGACAGGGATAGTGCTTGCAGGGTATAAAATGTGAAAACAGTTGCCCTTTGTGATGGAACACATGCTGTTAAGACAGGTGCTGTTGGGTATTATTATTATTATTGTGGTACTGGGCATTTGAACTCAGTGCCTCTGCACTGAGCTATGTATCCTTAGCCTTTTCATTTTGAGACAGGGTCTTGCTGTATTGTTGAGTTGCCCAGGCTGAGTGCTGGGATTACAGGTGCACACCACCACCTGCAGCTGAAAGACACTTTTTAAATATACATACACACAAAGGCAAAATGTGCATGCTTCGGGTTCAGAGCCAGCGAGATGCTGGCTCAGGAATATTCGGAGAAGGCGCATGTGTGCATTTGTATGCATGTGTGTGTGTAGGCAGCCAGGAATCTGGAGATGAATTTGGGCGTGAATTCGACGCTGCTCACTGTCCGCCAGGAGCAGTAAGTTGTGTTCCAGGGAAGGTTCGGGCATTTCTGTGACTGTGCGTCAATGCATTGTGGCCAATTTTCTACATCTTAATTTCAGCAATAGCTCCCAGGGCTGGGGATTTAGCTTGGCAGCATAAGCATCTGCCTGGCAAGTGTGAGGTCATGAGTTCAATCCCCGGTACCAAAAAAAAAAACAGCTCCCAAGTAAAGGAGGGTTTAGTTAACCAGGGGACTGTACTAGGTGAGAAACTCGGGCGTCACCTTTGCCCAGCTCAGAGGCTCCTGCAGTTTCTTCCTGATGCTGTCCTTTGCCTCCTCTAACCAGTCTGTCCTCCAGGACCGGGACAGACTGGCTTCTCACACTGAGCTGCCCTCTCATTTAATCTTTGTATTGCTAATGTTTTTTCTTTGCATGTATTCTGGCCATGTTATTCCATATGTATACTTCTGTTATATTTTTATTACATCAATGATAGATATTCAATACGTGAGATAAAACCATTTTAACTCCTCCTCCCTCATTGCCCCTTTTGCTGGACGCATCAGATTATTGCCATGTTTTTCCTATGCTGAACACGCTATAACTAGTAGCCAACACATTTCACATTTTGCTGTGTGTCTGAAGAACATGACCAGAACTGGGGGGTTGTGAGTTAAAGAATCTGAAGTTTGAGGTGCAGTGAGCCTGCTTCCTACAGCAGCCGGACCCGTCGGGCCGCGCACATGGGGCGGCAGCACAGGCTCCCAGCACAGTCCGCCTCTGGTCCTCCTGCTCCTGCCCTCCGGGCCTTGTGCGACACTTTCTCTTCCTGGTTCTGACTCGGTAGTGATCTGCGCTGGTCCTGCTCACCCAACCAGGCTGACTGACAGCCTGGCCCGAGCTTCCTGCACAGGCCCTGCGTGCTGTGCTGACAGATGGGGCCCGGAGACTGGGAGGCCCGCTTCCTCCTCTCTGCCAGTGTTCTCTGTCCTCCGATATTTCCTTCTGCTTGTGCTCCTCCTCCGTCCTGTGTGCAATTTTCCTTTTGATGGCTGCTAAGTTGGTTGTGGCTTGGCAGGTACAAAATGACCATCTGCATTGTCTACGTGACCTTTAAAACACACTGTGAGTGTCATAATCTTATTTTTACACTTAGCTAATAAAAAGTCTGTTTCACTTGGGAATAAAGGAGTTTTTGAAATGTGAGGTTATTTTTTTCCACAGTTCATAGGCTTAGCCCAGTGTCCTAGAAGTTAAAACTGTTCGCAGCTGATGTTTTTCTTTCTGGAGCTCTGTAACCCTGGTGTGCGATTTGAGTGAGTACTTAAAGCCACAACTTTCCTGCTCAAGGATTTCCTCTCTGCATTCCCGGTTTGGATGCTTTAGGAGAGGCTCTTCACCTCTGTAGAGCACATGCTCACAGGGTAGACTTCAGAGTACTGCAGATCCCTGGTATCCCCCCCCCCCCGCCCCCGTGGTCCTTACACGGAATCCTTGTCCACTGCATGCAGAATTTGCAGATCTGTTCTTCCCTCTGGAATCTGCAGAGCCGGCTCAAAGCCGAAGCATCTGTTGTGGCGGGGATATGTCTATTAAAGCTTCATTTCTACTCTTTTGAAAATAACTTGTCTTCTTCAGAATTTGTCCCATCAGTCACCCCTCCTGATCTCTGGTCATTTTCCTGCCTGTGCGCTTCTTGGCAGATTTCTCTGTACCAGGCTCTCTCTTGTTCATTTCTGTCCCAGGCCCATTGATCACTGGGAGGTTAATGGTTTCAGCTGCGATCCATCAGGCTGCCACTTCCAGCTGAGGCCTCACGTCCACTGGAGCGACCTCAGGGACCCCTGGCCAGGGATCAGCGCCTGGTGTGCCCTGCAGCCCTGCTCCTGCCTCCCTCAGCCCTCCGTCCCCTGGTCGTGTTTCCTGTTTTGCAGTTATTGCTAATTAATTCCCAGTCAGTGATGGATGGTTTAATTTGCTTTCCTTGAGAGCTCTATTTCCCTGTGCTTGCCAGAGCCTGGGCAGGCCTCCAAGGCACGGGGGCAGGTGGCGCAGAGAGGCAGGCTCTCGGTGGAGGAGGCCAGGGAATAGGGCAAGGCTTGAGGCCAGGGATCTCCCCCTCAGACCATCAAGCATGGCTGCTACCTTCTCCTCATTCCTCGAGTGGCCAGAGAAGCCAAGAGGCTGAGCTCATCTGCTAGCAAGCCTTCTGCAGGCAGAGTCTCAGCCACGAAGTGTCAGTGCCGGACTCTTGTGACAAAGCTAGAATTCTATCTAAGACCCAGAGCAGTGCTTCCTGGAGAGCCTCTTCCAGGGTCTTTTCCTCAGAGCCCCTGCCCGCGGTGTGTGCCGGGTCTCCCTCTCTGTCCCCTGTCCCTCCTCCTGAGGTCTGAGGCTTGGGCACTGTCTTCAGGAGCCTGGCTAACCTGCTTGGAAGGGAAGAGCAGCGGTTGTGACTTCTTCCCTAATGCTTTATCTCCATTCTTGCAGCAAAACAGAAATAACAAAAGAGCTACCAGCAGTCATTGCTGGCACCATCGCCATCCTCGTCACCATCACTGACACCATCACGCTCATGACCACTGTCATCACCACCACCACCACCACCATCGCCGTCATCAGCGTCACTGACAGTCACCATCATCACCACGTTCTGCTCACCACTACTAACATCTCCACTGTCACTATCATTTTTATTACCTCCATCCAGCGTCATCAGGACCGCAGCCATCAGCACCCCATTCCCCATCGCCATCGCCGTCACCACCTGTTGTAGCTCCTCCTGCTCACCAGGCGCTGCTCTGTGCTCTGTGCTCTGCGGCTGGCGTGCAGCTGAGCGCCTGATACCCATTCCGCCCTTGGTTCTCACGGTGGCTCTGTAGGTAGCTCTACAGCAGCCCCATTCTCACCGTGAGGACTGACCTAGGCCGTGCATGCCAGAGGGGTGCCCGGCCTGCTCAGAGAGGCTGCAGAGCTGGTGTGGCAGAGCCCGGGTTCAGCTTCTGCAGCCTCCAAGACGCAGGGCACAGTGGGGCCCCGTCATCACTCAGATCACAGACACCAGCTCCAAGCCGTCCCTCACCCTCGATGCCGTTCCCGTCCCTCCGCAGGTGTACGAGGGCGGGAGCAACGTGGACCAGTTCGTCACCCGCTTCCTCCTGAAGGAGACGGCCAGTCAGATCCAGTCGCTGCTCAGCTCCGTGGAGAGTGCGGTGGAGGCCATCGAGGAGCAGACCAGCCAGATCCGGTGTGTCAGTGGGTCCCGGGAGGGGCTTATGGGGCACACACACTGCTTTGTGCTCCTGGGGCTGGATCGTTGCTCCTCCCTAAGATTGTTACTCTTAGCTGTAATATGAGGGCTGGTGACCGATGTCTTAGCTCCTGGGTCACGGTGCGGATGGAATGAGATGGCCTGGGGTGTGCGCACAGCAGCTCCTGCGTACAGGCAGCTTAGGTGCCGTTTCCAGGGCTCTGGTCAGCCTTCCCTGTCCCCTGCTGCTCACTGGTTATGCAGAATGCTTCCACTGCCTGGCCTGCTTTTTAGAACTGGAAGTGAGTTTGAGAAATGATGGATGCCACACTGATGGCACGGTAGAGCCTTACCTGGTGACTGTAGAGAGCAGAGCCATTCATACCCATGCCCATTCACCCTCTACCCCCATGGCCCGTGCCCTCTTTGCTATACAAGGCCAGAGGCATGAGGGCCGTGGGAGATGGCGTGTCTTGCTGAGGTTTTCCTGGGGGGTTTGAGGGTTACTGGACAGGTGACTGCTCACAGGTTACCCAGAATTCAGTGAGCCTCGTTCTTGCCTGGGTGCCCAGGTGCCCGGCACAGGAAAGTTCCTGAGGTCCCTCATAGTGGCTAGACACTCTGGTCCGTGAAGGCCGCTTGGTGACCCTTTACCATGGTATCTGAGCACTTGGGCCAGGCACATTTCAAATCCAAACTCTGGCTGTTGGGTTGGAGAGCCCGGGCAGGGCCCTGCATCCACGCTCAATCCCGTGACCCTGAGAGGTCCCAGAGTTCAGAGCTGCCGCTCTGTAAATTGACACTTGGATTTGTCTTTTTCTGCTTGGTCACTGTCGTGACCCAAGGCTTGCCCTTCCTGTCCTGCTGCCGGCTCTGTCACATCAGGGTCACACCTGCCATCCCCCTGTGGGGCCCAACCTTGGCACACTTCCGAAGGGCGGTGTGGCACAATGGGTAGTGCCCCTCCCCACACACACTGCCACCTCACATCACAGCACCCAGAAGTTTTGGGTTCTCTCAGGCCACCCTGTGTCCCAGGCACAAGCCGCTGGTTCAAACCCTGCCACCACAGGGCCTCCTACTCAGCCCTCCGGGTCTGCAGACCACATTGAATTCGCTGCTGGTTTGCACACACTTTGCCTGTCGGGGCAGGGCTGGCCCCTCGGTGCAGGAGAGAGCCCCACCAGGCTTTTGAGGTTCTCAGGAGACAAATCCCAGAACATACCAGAGCGACAAAGCCAGGGATGGGGCGCAAGTGTATCACACCCGTGCCCTCCACCCACAGTGGGTTTTCCAGTGCTTTGTGCAGCGAGGGTCCATCTGGTCATTCCCTGAGGGTGTTGGGTGTCCCTGCCATGTGCGCCAGGCACAGTGCTTGGTGAGCAGTGCAGGAGCCTCTGACTGGCTGTGCCTGGCTGTCACTGTGTGTGGGGGACAGGAGATGGGGGTCTATCCTTTTACACCCCACTCTGTGTCTTGTAGGGCTCTCTTTTGGGGATCTTGATGGTGCAATCCCAGGTTTCCCATACTGGAGGGTACCGAGCACCATATGGGCTTTGAATGAGGCAGAGAAGGGGGACACTTGGTATCTCTACCCTTGCATTCAGCATGCATCTGGGAAGCTATGCACCTTTGGGGTGCATGGGAACCTGACTCAGCCCTAGAACTGTATCCCTGGGGCACAAGGCTCAGGCTGGACCCTAGGAGGCAGCAGAGTTCCAGTCCCAGTCCGCCCAAGCCAGCACAAGGCCTAGGCCAAGCCACCTGCTCCCCAGTCAGAGGGAGGCTGTGGCTCCCCTAGCCCCACAGGCATAGGGCTCCACAGGGTAGGTTCTGGGCACAGCTCAGTGCAGGGCTGGGGTTTGGAAAACACCTGTGAACACTGCTAAACGTGGCCTTGGCCCTGCCTCTGCCTTCACTGACTGTGTTTCCCCCACTCACTGCAGACAGAACCACGGCAAACCCAGCCACGGCGCCGTGGAGTGCTGGTACAGAAGCCCCACTCCTCCCTACGCCCCGGGCCCCAAGCTTGTGGCTGCGGAGCAAGGGAAGAGCCTGCTGCCTGGTGAGAGCGAGCGGTGGCCCTGGGGTGGGAGTGCTGCCCCGGGTTCTGGGAGTTCCAAGGTGCTCTGCGTACCCCCACTTCCAGCCCTGCCAGCCATCAGGGTCCCCGGTTCTTTCCTAGCCCCCGGGGACCCCAAGGAGGAGAGTCTGGAGGCCCAGATCAGCCGGCTGGCGGAGCTGATTGGGAGGCTGGAGAACAAGGTGAGTCGCACTGCGCCCGCCCTGCCACGGGGTCTCCTACCTCCCTCCCTGCACACGCACACCAGGGCAGCTTGGCCTGGAGGGTCAGGGAGCCCTGTGGAGGCGTCAGCCACGTGGCATGGAGTGGGGACAGAGGGACTCGAGTGGAGCCCTGGCTGGTGGTGGGAGGGCAGAGGACCGCAAACAGCAGCCCTCCCGGAGCCACGAGTCAGGGAAGGTTTGTGACTCAGTCGAGAACGCGTGACCACTTGGAGCAGGAAGGAAAGAGTGCTCATTAGGCTTACGGATGCCTGGGATGGAGTGTCAGGATGTTGGCATTGGACTGTGCAGCCTTGGGCCAGTGACTCAGCCTCTCTGAGCCTTAGATTCCACCGCTGATGATCAGTCAGGCAAGGCGTGGCCCTCTCGGGTGCAGTTAGGATTAAATAAGATGACGTCTCGATGACTTGCCACGGAACCTTCTGTCCTAGTTAGCATTTAACATTAGCAGCGTTGGCAGTTATTATTAGACATCCCGTTACCAGAATCCACACGCAGGCACGCACCACCCCCGCGCACCTACATAACCGGTACCTCAGCCTGGCATCCAGGCGACACTTCCTCCTCCGGTATTTGCTCCTCTTTGCATCTTTGGCAGAGGGCACTTGTGCTTTGATGGATTTGGGGGTGCTGAGAGATTCACAGGGGTGGAAGCCCAAGGCAGGCAGGGTCTGATGGGGGAAGTCCGAGGGAGGAGGCTGCAGCCTGGCTGCAAGGCGAAAGCCACTGTGGGTTCCCCATGCCCAGCCAGCTGTCGGGGTGGAGCAGCTCTGGGGGACCCAGCGGCCAGTTGTCATAACAACTCGGCATGGGCCCTGGGAGGGAGGCTCTTTGAAGCTTATTTTTAGCACCCTGGTCGCCCTAACAACCATGCTGGCTGGTAACCACAGAGCACCTGGGCGTCCTGGAGATGGGGCGGGGCATACCTCCCAGTTTCTGATTGGCCCTGGACTCTAGCATAGGCCAATCAGGGCCTGGCTCCTGGCCTGCCCCCTGAAAGCCAACCTGAGCCCCCTCCTGGCCCAGCCAAATGGGAGGTGTGGGGCCGGGTTGGCAAATTTGGGTGCTACCCTGTCCCCCCTCATCTTATAGAGAAGCCAGTTGCCACCCCAGTCCTCCAGCAGCCACATCTATGATTGTAAAATGGTAGAATCAAACTGGTGCCTGCTGGGCTCACCTTCTTCCCCTGTCCCCTCCCAGAGAAGGAAGTGCAGGCTCCAGGACAGACAGACTCACAATGCCAGCTCAGAAGGACTGCGCAGGGGCCCCTGTGCAAACACTGAGTCACAGGGGCACAGCTCTGCCACCTGCTGCCATTTCCCTTGATGACAGAAGGGCCTCATGTGCGTGTGCATGCGTTCCAGGTGACTGTAACCACTTGTCCCCTGAGGAGGGGCAGGGACAGGGCCTGTGGTTACTGAGTGGACGCCCAAGTTGAAGGAAGGAGCGTGGCGATTTAAGAGCTGGGGTCGGGACAGGTCCTGTTTGAACCAAGCCCAGCCCTTCATCTGCTTTTGTGAGCACCAAGCCCAGCGCTGCCTGGGGACCATAGCAGGGATGAGAATGGGCCTGCACTGAGCCCCAAGTACTGTGAGGGGCAGAGCCCGCGTGGGGCTGCTCAGAAGAGCCGGTAAGGTGCCTCTGTGACCTTTGCTTCAGGGCCTGGGAGGACGCAGTACAGAGCACCCCAATCAGAGTCCTAGATTCACAGGGAATCAGAAGTGAAGGCCGGAGGTGCTGCCAGTGAAGAGCCTCAGGGCCTGATCTGTAGTTGTGGCAAAAACACAGTATCACAGTGAACAATGGCACGTGCCTGTAATCCCAGGGTTTGGAGTGAACCCCAGGACACCCCCCCATGAAAGCAGCTGCTAGGGTCCCAGGCCAGCCCCTCCTGAGTGCCCATCGCCGCCCTCCCAGGTCCCCCCACAAAGCACTTGGCTTTTGCAGGCCTGCTGCACTGCTCAGGGGTCCCTGAGCCTCCCTTGAGCCCCAAGAGGCCAAAGCGCGGGGGATTTTCTGCTGCTCCCTGGGGTGGGTCCCCAGCCCAGGCTCCTAAGGTCCCCTAGGGGGCAGCCCTGTCCACAGGCCTGGCCCTGGGAGCCTTGGTCCGGGATGTAGCCCTGGAGTGTCCAGAGTACTCTTGCTCTTATGGGGTCCTGGAGGCCTCTCTGGAGGAGGCGGCCTGTGTCTCAGGCGTGGCTCTGTGTTCTGTGGTTTCAGACCCTCTGGTTTGACCTGCAGCAGCGCCTCTCCGATGACGATGAAGGCACCAACATGGTGAGGCCCTTTCCTTCCCTGCCACAGCCACTCGTGGCTCCACGACCCCTCCCCCAGAACCCCGAGGGACAGTGTAGCCCCAGCACTTGGCCCCTCCCCCCAGGCTTTGCTCCCAGTAAATTTACTGGAGCAGCGCAGGAGTCCTCAGAATGCAGAACATGGGAGGGGACCCAGGCCTGGCTGGTGGCGTCTAAATGCCCGTCTCAGGCTGCAGGGACCTGCTGAGCGCACATGGCTGCCGCAGGCTCTCCTCAGCCAGCTTTCCCGTCCCCCACAAGAGGAGGCACTAGGGGCCGGAGCTGGGCTTGGAAGAGGATCACTGGGCACTGAGCCCCAGCAGCCACGCTCTGCTGTGTTCTGGTCCGCAGCACCTGCAGCTGGTCCGGCAGGAGATGGCTGTGTGCCCCGAGCAGCTGGGCGAGTTCCTGGGCTCCCTGCGACAGTACCTCCGGGGTACCGCCGAAGCCCAGCCCTGCTTCCAGTGAGTGGCCGTGCTGTGGGGAGGACAGGGGCGGCAGCAGGTGGGGTCCAGGGCCCTGCTCAGGCTCCTCCCGTGGTGAGGATGGGGCAGGTTAGGAGTCTGAATGGAACCACCATGACCACTTGACCTCCCTTGGGGCTGCTGCCCCTCACACTGTCACATAGCCACGGGCCTGGCGTGTGGCACACACAGTAAATAAGCAAGGAAAAACGCGGGAAGGGAGATGCTGCAAAACAGCAGCCACCACGCACCCCGTGTGGCAGGTTCACGCAGAGCAGCAGCCCTGTGTCCTCAGCCCTCTCCACAGTTCTGCCTCAGTTTCCCCCTTCGCAAGCGTTCATTTGTCCTCCTGGTCCTGGGACCTCTGCGGGCCAACAGCAAAGTGCAAGGCTGATCCAGCAGCACGTTTATTACTGACAAGAGAAGGGAGGAGAGCTGGGGGCTGGTGGCAGCAGGTCCCCCACACCTGGCGGCTCTCGAGTGACCCCTGCAGGCCCGTGTGTCACCATCAGGGCGGTGAAAGCAGTGACATGGCCGGAGTGAGGACGAGGAGGGCCAGGGCTGATGACAGTCATCCTCCAGCAGGATGGGTGGGGTCAGTCTGGCTGAGGAGCCTGCTTCTCCTTGTGGGGTGCCCCGGGCAGACCATGATGGTCACACATGGAAGGCGGGGACTCTGGCTTCACAGTGGAGAGGGCGGGGCCGGCGCAGGGCACGAGCCGGCAGGTGGCCTTTTCGAAGCTGGGCTGCCAGCATGGCCGGCTAAGGACCGCACTCGGCCCAGCCGCATGCAGCGGGTGCTTTTGGTTGTGTGGTGCTGGGGCTCGAACCTGGGCCCCACGCATGCTAGGCGAGTGCGCTACCAGAGAGCCACACCCCACCTCACCCCGAAGGTATAACCCAAAGTCACTCGCTACAAGAAGGGTGACCCAAGGCAGTCACAGCTGCTGCCCCTGGCTGAGCTCTTGGCGTCCGCAGATCCCCTTGTGTTCGCCTGCCTCTTACTGTGGGTTCTGTGCACCCTGCTGCTAGGATGGGACCACAGGCTCCACGGAGGAGGGGAAGCCCATGCCTGGATCCTGGTGACACGTCCTCCCTGCGGCCCACATCTGCTTAGGTCTTTCCAGCCAGCCACAGACATGCTGGCTCTCATGGCCACTTCCCCCGGTGCTGTGGTAGGGGAGCTGCAGAGCGGCACCTGGCAGGGGCTTGGGCTGGTTTTCACCAGCAGGGAGCACATGCCAAGAGCAGAGGCACAGTGCTGTGCGGGTCACTACAGGCTGCAGCCTAAGGAGCTGAAGGTCCAGCTGGAGGCCTCGAGTCCCCACATTGTCCTGCACGCCCAGCCTGATCTGACCCAGCTGGGCACTCAGCCCCAAGTGACGGCTCGGGGGCACTGCTACCCTGGGTGTGAAAGAGGAGGTGCTGTGACCGTGGAGGGGCAGCGGGTATCTGCGGAGAAGTCTAGCACCCCATTTCTCTGCCCCACAGCATTGCCGCCGTGAGGCTGGCTGACGGCTTCACCTTCGTGGTCTATGAGTTCTGGGAGACAGAGGAGGAGTGGAAGAGGTGGGTGAGCCCCACCCTTGCCCCAGGGGACCTCTACAGAGGAGACAGTGGGGTGCGCTCCCCAGTCCTGCTTCGAGGTGCAGCAGCAGGGCAGACCAGCCTCTGCCCTTCACCCCACAGGGGGCCACAGGGCTCGTCAGAGCGGGTTCCAGCAGGGCCAGTGCTGCCCTGGCTCCGCCACCCTGCACACCAGCATGTGAAAACCACCCTGTGTCCTGAGTCCACTCTGCTCCCTCCTCCCCCAGCTCACTGGAGTGCGGGTCTCATGCCCTCTTCCAGGAAGCCCTCAGGGTTTTCCCCAGTGACTCTGGCACCACCCTCCACACCTGGTCCTGCTGTTGAGGGTAGAGACTGTGCCTTACGGAGCAGCTTGCAGTCACGCAGCGACTTAGAGATGCCACAATGCAGATGGGACCCGCTGCTCAGTCCTGGAGTCTCACCACCAATCGGGTTTCCAAGCACCTCCAAGTGTGGGAGGTGGTGGCTGCCTGGGGGCTCCCGCCCTACCCACTTGCAGCCAGGACACACCAGTGGCTGTCTGGGCCACCACCTGGCCCTGGCAGCAGGACTTGGCCCTGGCAGCGGGAGGCACAGATGCAGGTGGCTCCTGGCCTTTCTGGCAAGGGTTAGGCTGTGGCCCCACAGGGAGAAGGGAGTGACCACAGGGATGCTGTGTGGCAAGACCCATGCACTTCCAGTCCATCTTGGGGTGAGCTCAGCTCCAGGGGCCTGCAGGAGTTTCTCCTGGCCTCTGGGTAAACGGGGCACTCCTAGCCCCAGTCTCCTCCTCTGCAATGCCCCAAGGTCTGAGGCCCAGCAGCCCCCGGCATATTCCCCGGGTCTATCCTCTCCCCACCACTGACCTCACCCGGTTGCAGGCACCTGCAGAGCCCTGTGTGCAGGGCTTTCCGGCATGTCAAGGTGGACACGCTGAGCCAGCCGGAGGCCCTGTCCCAGATCTCCGTGCCAGGTAGAGGCTGGGCCAAGTGAGGGGGTGGGGCTGTTCTGTCCAGGAGATAGGCAGACCCCAGGCAGCTCTGGAGAGGACCTTGACTTGTGGGGATGGGATGGCCCCACCCACCCCAATCACAGTCCAGATTTGAGCTCCCACCATCAAGCCTGGGTGTGCAGCCAGGACTAGAGAGAATACCACAGGGCTGGTCTCAGGAACAGGCTGGGCTGTACTGTGTGCCACCTGGGTGACCACACAAGCTCCCAAGGTCTGGCTCTGCTCATGACTCTTTGTGTGGTCCCCTGTGGCATCAGGCCAGCTCCAGCATGGCAGAGTTGGCAGCAGATGAAGCGCTGTGTACCCGGGGGCACTGTGTCTCTGCCCTGCAGTTGGTGGGGAAGCAGATGGTTCCGGGGACTGTGGAGAGGAAAGCAGTGCCACCTTGCCTTCCCCTGGTGACAGCATGCCCTGAAAGTCCCCTAACCTCTCTCTCCCCTCCAGCTGCTTGGTGCACCGTGGGCCGAGACTGACCACCGCCCTAAGCCCTGTAGACGGGCCAGTCACCCTGTCCTCCTCTCGTAAACGACGCCCCTCTTTTCTAGACTCTTTGGTACACAGCTGTCTTTTCAGTATCCCTCTAAAGAGGACAGGAAGGACCCCGTGCAGCCTCCTCCTCGCCGAGCGGGCAGAGCAGCTCACTGCCGGGCAGTGCTGAGGCCACGGGGTGGCGACAGGGAGGCTTCCTGGACCCGCACCCCTGTGCAGAGCGCCAGGCTCCGCAGGACGCATCAACAGCCCACACCTCCTTCCCCTTGCCCTTCGTCTGCCTGATAGGAGCCGTGACCCTGTAGTGCCGCCCTCGTCCTGGGCCAAGCCCACGGACAGCAGTAGAGCCCATGTAGCCAGGGCCGTGCCCTTCAGACTGCCACCACCGGGCACAGGCACCTAATAAACTGCGGTCAGCACCAGCCGTACGCTGCTGTGCTCTCCTTGCTGAGGGACAGAGCTGTCGGGTGGGGGGCTGGATGGCCCCGATTGCCATGGAAGCTGAACCAGGTCTTCCAGGCAGTTGGTGTTCTTAGCTGTAAGATGGGGTGCTAACCACTCTGTGGCATGGGTGTGCTGACAGATGAGTCCGTGCCCAGTCCAGAGTTCAGGGGGAGGGGGCCCCTGAGACTGCATGTGGCCAGGTTTAGCGGCTGAGGACCCTGCTGAGTGCACACATTTCTCAGCTGGGACACCCTAGGGCCTCAGAGGTGGCTGCCCAGGAGCCAATATGCAGGTCAGGCCTCCCCGGGAGGTGCCGTCCTCTGCCGCACACCTGGAATTCTGTCCTGGCTCTGCCCTTCTCTAGCCTCCCCGGTCCTGTTCAGCAGGTTCCGGCTTCCTCTCCCACCTCTCTGTGCCGTTAGGGGGACAGACAGTCACAGAAGTCTCATGGGACCAGGACGAGGCCTGAGTGGCAGGTGCCGCTCCTGCTGGGGTAGACAGGACGGGAGGATGGAGGGGCCTCTGGGGGTGGACCCGAGCACCGGGAAGCACATCCCCAGTGACCTCACTGCCGAAGTTGCCCCACCATGCTGTCCTGCCCTCCGTTTGCCTGGCAACTTGAAGCACCTGTTCCCTTGATCGGTCCCCACCCGCCTGGGGTCCTGCTGCCCCTGAGAGGGGCCCAAGGTCAGGACACAAAGGCTGCCACTTCCTCTCAGCACTCAACTTTTAGCATATTCTCAGGGCTGGAGATCTTTGGGGGTACAGCTGAGCAACCCCACTAATGTGCCCACACCCCACATTTGCCTGCCCTGCTCTCGTAGGTGACATCACCGCAGGTGGGAGTGGCTGTGAGAGCACAGGTCTCAGCCATACCCAGCACAGCTCGCTCTCAACCCCTTATCCGGAGCCAGACAGCCCCAGCCCGCATGGGACCCCCCAACCCGCCCTGGACATGGTGCCACCCTGTGCCCCCCCGGGAGGGACAAGACACAGAGGGCCAGCACATAAGTAGCCCCGGTCACATCCAACAGACACATGTATCCCCACCCCAGCTGCCCACCGTGTGCCACCAGCCCCTGGCTCCACCTTGGCCTCCACCCCAGCTTCCTCAAAAGCTGCAGACAGAGTCACCCACGGCTGAGCAGCCAAGCTCCCGGGGGCCGTGCAGAGAGGGAGGATGTGACACTCCCACACAGCGCTTCCCCCACGGGGGCCCAAAGGAGGCCCAGTTCCCGTCTGTCAACCAGAGACAAACCTGCAGTGTGCAGCGGACCACCATGCCCACCCTGGTCCTCTGTCCCCATGGGTCCTGCAGCTATGACCTGAAGTACGCAGCTGGGCCTGCAGGGGTCCTCTGTACTGACCTGGTGTGGGCTTTCCGGCCGCCACTCCTGCACAGGGCAGCCTGGTGATCTGCGTCAGGCACTGCAGGAAACTCCAGGTCAGTGGGCCCTGGACCCCACCCCCATGGGCGCAGCGGGGAACAGCTCCAGCCAGCCATAAAAAAAGTTGGAAGTGCGTCCCTCGGCATGGTGGACAGGGCACTGAGGGGGAGCCCTGTGCTATGTGAGGGCAGTTAGGGAAACATACACAGCAGGCAGTTCTGCAGACAGGCAGCTGATGGGGGCCCTGGGCTACCTGGGCTGATGGAAAGGATTCGAGCCAGAGGGGCCAAGGCTGCATCCCCACTGATACACAGATACCCCAGAGCTTGTTCCTTAGAGTGGCAGCCTGGTGTCACGGAATTGCCCTGCACTTTACAAAGCTCATCAACCTTCCCATGGCAAGCTCTCCGCCTGTGTCCAGCTGCTCCATTCCACAGGGCCCCGTCCCAAGCCCAGGATGCCTGCGGGATGGACATGGAGATGACCTCCAGTTTCAGGGCCAGAAGTGCCAAACTAGACCACTGAGTCTGTGGACAGGTGATTCCCTGGGGCACAGCACCCCACCAGCCCCCAATTCCCAGGGCAGAAGCACAGGTCCTTCCCATGCAAAATGTCACCAGGCCATGCTCGGAGAGGTCAGCTGAGACATGGGTGTCTCTACACCCAAGTGGAGTTGTCACTACTGCCCTAGAGCTTGTGACAGGCCAGGCTCCTGGCAAGGACACTGAAGGTGGCTCTCAGCCTGTCCTCAGGGCTGCCTAGGAGGGAGGGCCTCTCCTCAGCCTCACCGCAGATGAAGGCAAAGGGGACAGAAGCCACAGCTAGAGGAGGGACATGCAGACCAGGCACGGCATAAGCCTGGTGGCCCGGGCACAGGCTTCCCTGAGGATACGTGGGTGCTCCTGGCCCAGTGCACACACTGAAGCCCCACACACCACCTGCCCGGGGACACCGCTTGTGTCCTCCCTGCACCTGGCCACAGTCCAGGCCGCAGGGAACCATGCAGTGCTGGAGCCGCACCGGCCGGCCTTCCCTCAGCTGGACAGCAGAGCCCCACCTTCCTGAACGCACCGCTGCGCCTTTGCACTGCAATGGTTAACAGTGGGGTGGGGATGAAGCTCAAGATGCAAACCCCTGTCCCCAAGTGAACACTCAGCCACTTAACAGAGGCCTCACCCTGGCCTTCTCTTAGCATTGAGAGCCAGGCCACTTCTGTCCTGGTGTGGGTGAGGCCTCGAGTGGGCACAGTTCCCTTTCCCCTTGCTGCAAGGAACCTCGGTGTCCCTCTCCAGTCTCACCCCAGGTTCTCTGGAGACCACGCTGCCGGGGTCTCCAGGGAGCAGGGCTGTGCGGGGGCTGTTGGAGAGTCAACTAGGACTCCATCTGCTTAACAAACACGTCACACACAAGGAGCCTACTCTGACACTGCCATGGCCCCGAATGTTAGAGAAGTATCATCGATTCCCCAGGGCTCTGCGGCCTCCCACGGGGCAGGATCCTGCCTGCACCGCTCTGTCATCCCAGGACTCCTGTGGATGGTCCCAGCGCTGCAGGGCCCTCCCCCGCAGCATCACAAAGCCTTTCAGGAAGTAGACAGGGCATCAATAATAAATGAAAGGCTGCCTGCCCTCCAGCCCACGCTGAAGCAACACTGCCTACATGGTTCCAGCTCCCCGGGCCCCGCCTGAGAGGCCGCTGGCCGCTGAACAGAGCCTGAGGCAGGCCATGGTGGGGAGGCATGGATGGAGAGAAGGCCTGGCCCTGAGGCCAGCACAGAGGCAGACGGTGCCTCCCCACACTCCACGCGCCAGGCCAGGCACACAGGTCCCAAGCCACAGTCCCTCCTCTGGGTGAAGGGTGGCACTGTGGACGACAGAATTCAGCCCCAAACCAGCTCTGACCTCAGCTCTGGGCCTCGCAGACAGGCAGGGTTGGCTTTGCCAGGCCTCAGTGCCTCACCTGCAAAATGCATGTGTCTGGAAGCATCCTGTGACATCCAGGAAAGCACACACAGACCCCAGGCCATGTGAGTCTGTTACAGGAGGCTGAGGCGGGCAGACCACAGAGGGTGAAAGCAGCCTCCTGCTGCCTAGGGCTGAGGATGGGACACCGGCAGTGGCTGATGGTCTGGGGCTCTTCCTGGGTGATGAAATTCCGCTGGGAACAGACAGCGGGTGGCTGCACACTGATACTCTGTAAAGGGGCAAATTTTATGGTACGCTAGTTATATCACCATTTTTAAACAGTCCATGCATGTGGACAGGCTGGAAAATAAACAGAAAAACTGAACCTATCACCGCCCACCCTGTGCGGTCCCAGACCCAAACAGGGCATGAGCAGGAAGGGCTGGCCCAGGGCGCAGGGATTGTCAGCGCTGCTCTCCCCGGCTGTCACTCACTAGCTTCTAGGAGGATGAACAGAGGCAGAGAAAGGTGGCCCAAGTTCAGCACCGGCCAGGATGTCGGCCCTGGCAGGGTTACAGGCAGGTGCACATGGATACGGGCACAGGGGTCCCTTCCTATTCCCGCTGCTCCCCACTCTGAGGCCCTGGAAATGACCATCTGTCCTTTTGCACCCTCTGCAGCAGGTGTGACAACTGCGCGGTGTCAGGGTAGAGTCAGCGGCAGCACACGACGGGGACACATGGTCCACTTGGCCTCTAGGTCATCTGAGTGCAGAAGCCAAAGGAGAAAAGGCACAGCCTTCTTGGGCATTTATCTCCCTGAGTGGGTCAGTCACTTTTCCGTGACTAGGACACAATACTTGATGCGCACCGTGTATAGGAAGATACGTTTATTCCGACTCACAATTTTAGTGGGTTCAGTCCATGGCCAACTGGTCCCAAGACAGAAACAGCCTGGCAGAGGGAAAAGGCTCAACCCATGGCAGCTAGGAAGCAGAGAAGAGAGAAGCCAGGGACACAGACACGGTCTTCCAGGTCACATAACCCATGCCACTTCCAACCCAGGGCCACCTCCAAGCAACACATTCAGTGATGAGCCCCTCAGTGGATGAATCCACAGGTGAGCATACAGCCCCGGGACTTGGGGGCATATTTTAGATCTAAACTATCATACTGGGATCTGTGGGTCTAGACAGCATTGAGCCAGCTTAAGGCTACCACCATTGCAAGGGAAACCCCCAGGCCCCCATCCATTATGCTCAGCTGGCAGCATTGATCCCAGTACCCCAAAGCCAGGTTCTCTGGGTCTCAGCCCCGCCCTCCCCTTCCCTATTAAGGGGGAGCTGTATCCACAGCGAGAGAAATCGAAGTCCCTACCCCGGGACCCAGTGAACATGGCCCTATTTGGCAATCAAACTTCTGCACATCTTGAGTTATTAAGATGAGACACCGTCAAGTCCAGACACCGACACAGTAAGTTAGGACGCACTGTAAATGAACATCCGGAAGGAGGGGTCCAGACACAGAGTCCCGGGGAGGTGGCCAGGTAAAGATGAGAGCAGGGACTAGAGAGAACCCCGACAAGCCAAGGGACCCCAGGAGCCCGGCAGCCAAGAGAAGTAGGGGCCTCCAGAGGGAGGGGCACAGTCTTGCCACACCCCAATTCTGTGCAGCAGCCAGAACCCCCAGGGCAGGTAGAACCCGGTGAGCTTTGGGAGGCGGAGGAGTCCGTTCCTGGCATCTTCACACTGGCAGCAGCCATACCAGCCTCCTCTCAGCCTCGGACCCTCAGGCCAGCTCCAGGACGGCAGCCACCGTGCTCTGCCCGAAGATGAAGGTGCCCACCAGCACCGAGACTGCGCCCCAGGCCTCCAGGCCGCACCTGCCAAGGCAGAGGCACCATTATGCGCAGTCCAGCAGTGCCCCGGAGTTGGAGGATTCCCACATTTCCCTGCCCCACCAAGACGGGTCTCTTGAGACAAAGGCAGCCGGAGGGCTCAGCCCCACTCCTTTGCCTGTTACACACACACCGGGCAGCTGCCCAGGAGAGGGTGGGGAGCAGGGCCACAGGGCCAGGCAGCCACCAAGGCCCAGTGCCAGCTCCCAGGGTAACCAGGTGCAGCTGAGAGGACCACAGCAGTGATATGATGCCCACCAAACTGCACAGGGCCCATTACTGGAGGGCAGGGAGGGCCATGCGAGGGAGTGTCTGGTCCAGCACTGTGCCAGCTGCCATGTGGCTGTTCAGCCTCCCACAGGACAGTGGTGACCCAGCCACAGTGTCCCTCGGAGTCACACCAAAGGAGCAGGACTGAGAGTGATTACAGGAAAAGCTCCCTTGAAGGCTGAGGGGTAAAAACTGGTGAGCTGGTCGAACAAAGCCCACACAGGAAGGTACTGAGAACAGAACATGGGTGGCACGTGCCTGTAATCCCATCACTCTGGAGGCTGAGGCAGGAGGACCCCAAGTTTGAACACAGCCTGGGTAACTTACTAACTTAGCAAGAACCCGTCTCAAAGGAAAGGATGAGGGTGTAGCTTGGTGCAAGGCCCTGGGTTCAACCCCCAGTACTAGCCCACCCCAGAAAGTTTCCAAGGAGCACTCCAGGGGAGAAAAAAGGCACTTCAGGGCATCAGACACAGGGCCAGCTGGGAGCCCAAGTGACGTTTAGGGACACCCAAGAAGCTCGCCCTTCTTAGTCCAGGAGGGGGCATGCACAGCTGCTCTTTCAGAGAAACAGGCTTGGGCGCCGTGGGGCTGGGACCCAGATCCACACTGCTGTGACCTAGGTGTCCCCAGGTGACCGAGGTGCCCCCAGATGCCCATCTGCCTGGGCCTCTGAGAGGGACCTTCTCTGGTAACAGGCCCTCACAGATTCATGTAGCCCTGTGAGACCGACGCAATCACTCTGGACCTGGGGTAGACCTCAGCCCACCAACTGAGTCCCCCTAAGAGAAAGGCACGGGGGCTTTGAGAGGTGGAGCTGGGGAGGCCCTGGGAGGACGGAGGCAGACTTAAGCGATGTGGCCACAAGGCCAGGAGTGCCAGGAGCAGCAACAGCCCCACCCATGGGGAGAGCAGTGTCTGCTGGGTCTTTAAGTCCCCCAGATGGCAGTGCTCATTCCAGTGGCCCCAGGAAACTAACACAGTGTCTCTACCTGTCCCCGCCTCTGCTTCCACACCTGTGGGATGGGAAGGCAGGAAGCGGGCAGCACAGGACCTCACATCTGGGGCTTGGGCAGGGACCCCGAACTCACCAGGCCCCTGCCCTGTCCCATCAGCAGGGCAGAGACATCCCGAGGGCAGGCCGACAAGCACATGGCTGGGGCTATCACGGGGCCTGGCATACAGGACCCCAGCAAGCCTGCCACCGTGATGGCACAGCACAGAATCTGCTCAGGCCCCCACATACAGGCTCCTGCCCTAGGTCTGGGCCAGGAGGAGGAGGAGACGCCACTTGCAGGGTCCCAAAGCCAGAGAGACTCCAGAGCCACAGTAAGTTCCAGCCCCAGACACTCAGGGCAGAAGGCATTGATGGACAAGAGCCCAGGACCAGTGTCGCCAGCCAGGTATCTGACAGCCTAGATATGATCTTGCTGTGAGGACGAGCTCCCCCCAAGGACAGCCTTCAGCCTCTTACCATGGGACAGGAGCAGCCACCCCCAGCCCAGGGACACTCACTTAGCTCTCGGTCCTATGGGCTCCAGGTCCACAGCACAGATGAGGCACACACCTGGGAAGGAAGCGCAGGGTCACTCGGCCTCCTCACCAGAGCAAGGCCCTGAGGGCCACCTGCACCCCACAGGGGATGTGAGAGACCCACAAGGCCTTGGCCACAGGCGACCCACCACTCACTCTGTGGCCAGACGGCACAGCCTGTGGATAGAGGCCTGGGGGGTGCCCAGCTCAGCACCCCATGAGCACTCAGCCAGAGGCCAGCAACCATGCGGCCTCCCGAGCTGCAGTCTTCAGGGACAGCACAGACAGCCCTCCCTGGCAGTCTGCAGAGATGCTGTGAGCTGGTGCCCACTCCTGGGAGAAGCTCAACAGCTGTCAGCTGCCACCTTCTTTTTCTCTTTGTCTGATTTTATTTTGACATATTTTAAATACTCCCACTGAGACGTAAGCCAGGTGGCCGGCACAGTGCCCTGGCAGCCTCCCCACCCTGCCTGCCACCCAGCATGGGCCAGGTCCCAAGCGGCTGCCAAACAAGGGCGCTGGGACGCAGGTTCCTAAGTTCAATTCCTGGTACCCTCCAAAACAAAATAAATAAAATGTTTTACTGTAAAAGATTCAGCACCATGAATCCCCCTCAAAACCTCCTCCTCACTTCAAGCACGCTCATCCACGGCTCTCGCCACTCTCTGAAGCAGTTCTGGAGTCCTCTTCCACGAGCGGCTGTACAGGTGTGACCAAAACAAGAAAAAACCAAAAACCCACAAAAGCCCCACACCACTGCCGCTGCCGCTGCTGAGGGCCATCCAGGGGAAGGCAGCTGGCACACACCTCACCGGGTCCTCACCCAGCTTATTCCCCAGGTGTGGCACAGTGTGGCTTCTTCTCTTCCCCAAAGCCAAAATGACTACGTTGGGACACATCTGGATCAGTCCAGGCCATCAAGGCAGCCGCAGAAGTCAGCTCACAGAGCTGCTGCAGAACACCGGAGCAGGGCAGGCGAGCGTGGCCACGAGAGGGTGGTTTCGAGGGGGATTTGTGGCCATGCGAGTTACAGTGCAATCACATCTTTTAAGGGTTAGCCCTTGCTGTAGTTTTCAGTCACACCTCGCCCCAGGCCGTGGCCCGGTGGCCCGTGAAGGGCTGCTGTGCTGCCTGGCCAGAGGCAGCCCTGTGGGGCCCAGTCCCCTCCCCCTGGGCTCCTGCCCCCAAGCCTTGAGGCCTGTCCCGTCCAGGTCCGAGCAGAGCGCCCTCACCTGGGAAGATGAAGATGAAGAAGGCGCTCACGCCGCCAATGATGCCGATGATCTTGCTGAGGTCGGGCAGCAACAGGGCCAGGGCGAGCGTCACGGCCACCCACAGGATCGTCAGTGGCACCCGAACCCACCGCCCAGAGGGGTTAGCCAGCACCCCAGGGCCCTGTGCCCCACAGCAGCCCCGCCTCCAGAAATCCTGCATCACGCACCTGTGGCCACACGGTCACAAAACACAGGGGTGTCTGGGGGCTACAGCCGGCACCCCCAGACCCCCTCGGAGCACCCAGGATGCTCTGCTCTCCCCCTCGGCTGGCTGTGGGCAGCGTGGAGAGGGCGGGGAGAGGCTGTGTGCGGGCAGCTGTGGCTGAACCACCTGAGCTCTCTGTGCCTGTATGGAGTGAGCACAAGCCACAGGAGAGCCAGCAGCACCCCAGGGCCCGGGAAACCCCCTGCCCTCGCCTGGCCAGGGCTCACCTCCCCAGGAAGAGCACAATGGGGTAAACAGTTACGACAGAGACGGCAAAGAAGACCCGGGCCACGACGATAGCCATGTTGTTGCCCGGGTAGGACATCAGGATGTCAGCAGAAACTTCTGTCCTGAAGGTCAGGAAGCCGTAAACCCCTGCAGAGGGGAAGGACGGAGGCCAGGGAGCTCCCACTAAAAACTGTCACCGCTGCCCCCAGCACACTCACAGCCCCTAAGAACGTCCTCTGGGCAGGTGAGGGCTCTGAGAGGGACCACGCCCTGCTGTTGCTCATGGATGTCCTGTCCTCAACCTGCAGGCTACTGCTGGGTCCTCCTGCACACTGCTCACAGAGCTGGGCCCAGGGCTCTGCAGTGACAATGGCCTGGCAGAGATGGAGCACTTGGGAAACAAACACACCTGCAGGGCTGCCCACCTCACTCCACAGCAGGTACAGAGATCAGCTGGGTGTGTACCCACTCTACAGGTAGGGAAGACCAAAACCCAAGGTGTCAAGCGCCGCCCAGAATCACAAAGCCAGTCTCGAAGGATTGGCCGGCTTGCCTGTCCCTGGGCCCCAGTACAATGCTGTTCTCCCAGTCACCCCGACATCCCTGTCTGTCCTGAGACGTCACTTCTGAGAGTCCTGGGATCCTGCTGGCCCCAGTGCCAGGGACATCAAGAGGTGCTGCCCAATTATAGACATGGCCTCTAACCCGGGCTGTCAAGCCTGAGGACCTTGGGCCCCAGCAGGCTTCCCATTGGGAGGAGGCCCCAGCAGGCTTCTTGGGTGACCTCAGGAGTCCAGGGCCACCTCGCAAGTTGCCAGCAGCCCCAGGCCCTTCCTGAAGTAGGGGGATCACAGACAGTGTGTGGCTGGCCAGCTGGACATTGCCTGTGCCCTGTGCACCCTGCTGATGCGTGGTGTGGCCCTGGGTCATCACAGCCCTCAGTGAGCCGTGATTTCACCATCTCTGACAGCCCCCGGCCTCCTCACGGTGCTGGGGACTCCAAGGCATGGTTCACTACCCACACACCACACCAGGAGGCTCCCCGCCACACCCTGCCCAGCGTGGGCACTCACGTATGTGGGTCCCAGGTTTGCCCTTCCAGCCATGAGGGAGTGTCTGGGCTTCAGGAACGCCCAGCCCCATGTCCCCACTATGCCCTGGGGCCTCTCTGGGTGGGTGCCTTTGGAATGCAGAGTACCACTCACCACCCCCGCCCTCCCTCCTCCTCTGGCCCCAGCACCTGGGCAGTGCCCACCTGTCAGTGAGTAGATGAGGCAGCTGGCCAGCAGGGACAGCATGGACACCAGGGCCCAGTGGAACAGGCTCTGTGGGCGCAGGCTACAGTAGATGGACACAGCGGCTTCGTGACACTGGAATACATAGCTGTGGCTCAGGAGGCCTCTAGCCAGAGGACAGCAGACCACCTGGAGCCACAGGACAAGTGCTGTATCTGCAAGATGGGGAGCACACTGAGTGTACCCCAGCAGCAGGGACAGAAACAAACCACAAGAGGCCTGTGGTGGAGTATTATGCAGCTCTAAAAAGGTTAAGCACACCATCATGCCTCAACATAGAACAATCACACGGACACAACACAAAGCCAAAGAAAGAGGCCAGGCAGCCAGGTGAGGCGTGCACGCCTCTGACCCCAGCACTCTGAGGGGCTGAGACAGAACAGCAAGTTTGAGCCCAGGCTAGGCCACTGAGCAACTTTCAGTAAGACTCTGTCTCAAAATAAAAAACAAAAAGGGCTGGGGACGCAGCTCAGTGTGGAGATCCTGGGTCCAACCCCCTGTGCCCCACACACACCGGCAGAAGCAAATGTCTACACGAGCTTGGCGTTTAGTCACGAGGCAGACTCCTGCAGCAGGGCCTAGGCCTCTGCCTGGGGACACAAGGACACGCAGCTTCTGGGCCTCGGCCCCGTGGAGACAGCCCCATCTGTGACAGCCCAGAAGGCATCCTCAGGGGGTCAGGTCCTGCTGGGGCCCCAGCTCCATTCTGACAGACAGGATGGAGGCTCCGGGCGGGGAAGGGGAGTACTGAATGGAGAAGGTGGTAAGGGGTCTCCCAGGGGGGCAGTGTCACATGGGACATACCCAGCATGTGACTTCTGCACTTCACAGGTCACGCATCCTATCACAAGGGGCATCATACGGGGAAGGCCAGGAGCCACCAGCAACCCTGCCCTCCGGCATGTGTGATGGCCCCAACACCAGGGCTGCACAGCCACGCTGAGGGCCAATGATGGTACCGGGGCCCTTTGGGGCTGGGCTCTTCCCCAGCCCTGCCAGCATCCACTTGCCCACTTGTTGTCAGGCCAAGGATGCATGGATGCCCCTCTTGATACCCTCTGTGCTTCCCCAGGAGGGATCCCATCTTGGTCCCACAGCCCCACTCAGAACCTGCAGCAGCTGACAGCCCCCAGGGTGACTGCTGACCTCCCTCTGGTCATCTGCACCTGAATGCAGAAACAAGCCACCTTCCTGACCCCCGAGCCTCTGGCAGCCGCAGCCTTTGCTGCTTTCCTTAGGGACCCCATGACCTTCTGGGCCCCCTGGGCTGCTGGCAGGTTCAGCCAGGCAGGGGGGACCTGGATCTCAACCATCAGTGGCTGGACCCATGGAGAAGTCCCTGCCTCCTGCACCTGCTGCACAGCCTGACCCCTCTCAGGTGAGCCAGGGGACGTGCAGCCTCACTGTCCACAACAGTAACTTCTGCAATGCCCCTCCCCTACCACCTGCATAGCACGGGAAAGACACCAGCATCTGGATGTCCCGGGCTGCCTGCAGGGACCAGAGCCACCCTGTGGGTCCTGGAGCCCAGCTCCCTGTGCAGGGATACAGCTGAGCCTCACAAAGGTGGCCACTTGGGCACCGGATTCCCTGTGAGGGGAATCTGACACTCCTGCACAGAGCGTCTCTCTGGCTGGCAGCGGGGACAGAGCACAGCCCTTCTGCAGGGCAGCAGCTAGCAGCTGGCTGGAGCCTGGGACTCACAGCTCCTCAGGACGGAAGCAGAGCAGGTGCAGGGGACACAGTGGCAGTGCAGGGGCAGCCGCAGATGTGCTGGCTGTGCTGTCTCTATACTGAAGTGTCACTGGGCTATCAAACTGAATGGAGCCGAGACACGCATCGTGGGGAAGAGCTTGAGAACTCGATGCCAGGGAAAGCAGCTGACACAAGGGGTGTCTATCACAAAGAAACCCAGCGGCAGAGGCCAAAGGCCACAAGAGGCGGGGGGCGGGGGGTGCAGGGCCACTGTTCACAGGCATGGGGCCCTTCCGGCATGGGAAGATGTTCTGAAATTGATGGTGATGACAGCAGTGTGACCCTGTCATAAACTACAGAGAGGGGGACTGGATGGGAGGTGAACTACATCTCAGCAGAGAGGCAGAAACGCAGAAGCTGGGGTGGCCATAGGGGCGGGGAGCAGAACGCTTTCCAGCTCTGGCTGGTGGGCTGTGTTGTGCACTGTTAAATGTGTTTGGGTGACATGCTGGAGTCAGGCCAGAGCACCTGAGGACAACAGGTCCAGCCCGGCTGGTCTCCTTCCAGCTTCACCTGCATTTATTCCCGTCCCCCAACTCGATGCTCCAAGCCACATCCTGACCCCCACGCTCACAGCCAATCCCCATCACCGCAGCCCGTGTCCCTGGCAACCGCATGTGGCCCAGTTGCTAGGAGAACAGAGGAGGGAGCGGTGGGGCAAAGGTGCGGCCCATGGGCGTCGGAACACAGCGGCACCTGCTGCTGCGCCCCTGCATGGGGCGGGTTGGTACCGTGCATCTCTCCAAACACTGAGCTCGAGAGGAGGGCGTGAGGAGCCCGCACCAGCTGCTGGCCAAGCCCTGGAGTGACACCAGCTATTTCTCAGGGACAGACTTGGGAACATTCCTTATGCTTTCAAAGTGTTTCTCAAGGAGAAAAGTGAAACAGAAATGTTTCAGAATTTTTTCTAAAATGGTTCTCCAAGAAAATGCAACAAGAACACGCACGGGAGCGTGCTGGTGGAGAAGGGAAGGAAAAACGGAGGCCGCCGTAGAGAGAGTGACCCAAGGCCCTGCGGCCTTGGCTGTGCCGAGGGCGGTGCTGGTGCTGGTGCTGGTGGGCAGGCAGCTGTGTCCAGGCATCGCAGGCGAACTGTCCCTACTTAGGGTGATGCATAGAAGAGCGGTGTCGGCTGCCACGTCCCCGTCACCTGGTTGTCCCTTCACCTGGCTCGGGCCCCAGCACGGGGGCTCCTCCCATGCATCCCTCCGGCTCCGTCTAGCACCACCCCCTTTAGCAGCTGACACCTGTCCCCCTTACCCAGAGGCCACACCAAACAATGAATGCACTCCTAGCATGCTCCACCAAGATTCTGTCTGTCCTATCCCAACCCCACCACCAGGACACCTGGACACTCCCAGTCCTCCAGCCTGGGGCCTCCCAAGGTGTGAGCTTTCTCTCAGGCCATGGCAGCTACAGGACACTGACAGGATCCACCTGTGCCCGTGCATTCCTGCTGTGACAGTCCTGTGAGCATTCTGGGCAGGGCACAGATCCCCGTCTCTGCTGCACCCTGTATCCAGCAAGCCCAGTGCTGCTGCTGCGACACCTGAGGGTCCGGGCCCCGGGTACAAGGGCAGCTTCTGCTCCTGAAGGAGCCCCGGGGCAGTACCACTTGCGGAGTCTCCAGAAGACTTCCCAGGGTGCTGGTGGGCAGCTGAGAGCTACAGCATCCTAGAGCAAGGCCCCCGGCTTTTCCCTGAAGGGAACCACACCACCCCCAGGGGACGGGGGCCTCTGAATGCCACACTGTGCACTCACCTGGAAGCCAAAGCAGATGGTGGGGAAGACACTGAACACCGAAGCCCAGGAGGAGGGGCTGCAGACAGACAGGACAGGTGCTCATTAGGGAACGGCCAGACAGGAGTCACCTGCCCTGGGAGAGGATGGATCCAAGTGATCCCAGGGAGATGTGACCAAGCGTGGCCATGAGGTGTGTCCTTAATGACCGTGTCCCTGACCTGGCTTTGGGGGTGGAAGAGGACGCCTGTCACACATAGCAGTACAACAATAGCCCACAAGGACGCTCGCTCCCTATCCTAGGGACCTGTATGTGTCACATGAGAGCTCTGGACACGGTTAGAGACCCCGAGATAGGGTCCTGGTCATTCCGGTGTGCCCAAGGGCACGGCATCCCTGCAGAGAACCCCACCTGGCTGTGGAGGGACAGAGACAGAGGCAGCTCTGAGGGTGGCACAGGCAGAGACAGACATAAGGTGGCTGCTCTGAGGGAAGGTGAAGGGGCCACAAGCCCATGGCCGCAGGTGGCTCACAGGCCAGTGATTCTCCCCGAGCTCTGGAAGGAACCTTCCCCTTCAGTCTGCTCTGCACTCTTGGGTTGGACTTCGGAACTCAGAGCTGGGAGGTGTACGTCTAAGCTGCTAAGCATGTGGTCCTTTGTCACAGCAGCCACAGGACCCCGGGCTGGAGGCGCTGCCGTTCTGTGCTGCTCTGCGGTACAGCCAGGGCAGCTGGGCGTGCTGCTTACACAGTGCCTGTGTGTCCACACTGCATCTGTCCACCTGCTGGGTGGACACAGTTGGGGCCCTCAGTCTGTCCCTCCTGTGCCCGTGGAGTGCAATGGGGCCCTAATGCCATGTCCTCTCTTCCACAGGCCAGGATCCTCCACTCCTGCCCCCAAGAACATAGGTCAGCAGCCATGGGCTGGCTCCTAGACCACCTCTTTCTCTGCTGACTGTTCCCATCACCCCGAAAGTGCGTGACCCCTGACCCCACACTCACTGCCTCCTCCTCTCCCTGCTCCCCACATCTCTGGCTGTCTCCTCCTGGGACCTAATTCGCCCTGGCTCCAGCCCCGACCCGTCCCCTGATGTGGTTCATCACAGCACCAATGACCTGCTTGGCCAAGGCCGGGCCCTGGTGGCTACTTGCTCTGACCTCCTTCCGGGTTTATTTGCCGACTTCAGGGACACACAGCCTATTACGTCCACATCTCGGAATCCGAGTTATTTGGAGCAGGGTCTTCGCAGAAGCAATTAAATTCAGCTGGGGTGACATTGGGTCCAAGGGCCACATCCTGTGACCTCTGCCCTTATAAGAAGAGATGCACAGAGAGGGGACATCTGGGGGAAGAGGCGGCCCGCAGAGCGAGGCTTCTGCATGTCAAAGGCGGCAGAGGTTGCTGGTGCCTCCGGAAGCTGAAGAGGCAGGGGAGAGCCCCCTCCACCTTAGATGCCTTGATTTGGGACCTCAGCTCCAGAACTGAGAGGAATTCCTGATGAGATGAACCCTCCAGTTGGGGTCACTTTGCAGCAAGTCTGACCTCATCTGTCACCTCCTCCCCAAGCCCCTGGTCGGAAGCACAGGTTCTGGGCAGGGTCCCCATGGTCTCCAACCTGGCTCAGCAGACTGAGGGGGGCTGGAGTCCTCTGGAGGAAGCCTATCGCCACCCTGCTGTGGCAGCACAGCTGCCTGGAGCTGACCAAGTTGTCCTGGAGGCTCCGCCCTCACCCCACCCCTGCCCTGGCTCAGGCTGGCCCAGCCACCCCCTCTACTGTGTCTTGCCACAGGGTCACACTGCCTCTGTATCCACAGCGCCATCACGTCCCTGGCCTGTCCTTCTAGATGAATGGGCTTTCCCTTGGCTTTACCACATGTCAGAGACACAAGGCCCCTGTGGATGGACCCAAGGGCTCCTCCAAGGCCCCCTGCATCTCCCCAAACCTTGGAAGGCTGGGGTCCCACTCACCTCTGCAAGGGGCGGGGCTCGTGCACAAGGCCCTGGGGCCAGTAGTACTGCGCAGTGATGACTAGGGCCAGGTAGCAGGCGGCCAAGGTGCCTAGGATGCTGACACACAGTTGGGGACTGCGTCAGAGGCCTCCCGGGAACACATGTCACCATTGGGGGGTGGCATGGCAGCGTTTGAACTCCAGCTCAGCTTTGGTTTGCACAATGCCCTCATCCTCTGCCCCTAAGCCTCTGTCCCTTCATCTGTCCAAGGACAGTGGTGTGGGGAGCTCAGGCAGGGCTGCGCTGGCCCAGAGCAGATCTGTGGGACTCTATGATCACCTGGCGCCCTCGAGGATGTCAGCTGTGATGACCCTCCTTTCCCCAGGACAGCCAGCCAGCCGCTCAGATTTGGCACCATGTCAGGGCCCCGTCAGGCTCAGCCACAGGGAAGAGGGAAGGGACCCCAGCCTGTGGGCACTGCTGGAAGAATGTGGGTCTCGGCTCCCATCTCCAGGGAACGTCCACTGGGCCTGCACAGGGGGGCACAGGCGGGCAGCCCTGGGATCGGACAGGGGCCATGCTTCCTTTCAACTGAAAGCCTCGAGGCAAAAGTGAAGAAGAGGCCTGCGCATCCCTCTCAGTCTGCACCAAAGCCGCCAACAGCCACACAACAAAACAGGGTGTGACAGTTACACTTTCTCCCATGGGATCCTGCTGCTGGCAGGATTTCTCTTTCTCTTCTCCAAACAGGAGGTTCTGCCCTGAGGCTCCCACCTCCTCCTCACACCAGCGCTCAAAGATGGGGCGCCAGTGGTGCGATTGCCCTGCTGCACGGTCTGCCGCCCGGTACCTGGTGTATTTCTGGAAGGCGATCTCCCGCGGCAAGGACAGAGGCAGGATGACCAGTGCACAGAGCAGGGGCAGCGTGAAGCGCTGGGCGGCAAACCAGGGCTGCGGGCCACCAGGCACAAGGGCATCAAATACTGTTGAGAACAGGCAGAAACTGAGCCAATGGAGCCACCATGGACTTGGCTGGAGGGACACCTGGGGCACCCTGCAGCTCTGGGGTCCCTCCACATGGGTCTCTGGAGCTCAACTGCTGCCTTTGGTCGATGAGGGCATTCCTACAGGCCAAGATCATAGAAGACAAGCGGACAGCCGGACAGGGTCCTGTTCACTACTCTCCGTAAGCCAAAGCTGTCCAAGAGGCCACCTGATAAAGGCCAGAGACAGGAGAAGGAGCAGCAAACAGTCCAGGGCTGCTTTTATTCAGCCGCCAGTATAGCTGATGTGGAGCTGACCCGAGAGGCAGGACAGATGTGGAGGGAGCAGGGGAGCCCTGGAAGGCGTCTGAGATCTCACTACAGGGCGGAGGCCAGAAAAGAAGGTGGCTCCTGCGGACTGAGGTCATCTGTGCAATCTTTCTTTGTTCTAAATCAATGACCAACCTTGCGAAGAAAGAAATGCCTTGAGACCAGCTTGTCTGCTGAAGAGGTGCAGGGGGAGCTGCACCGCTGTACAGAGGCAGAGCGTGGGGTGCAGAGTGTGGAGTGCAGAGCGTGGGAAGGCAGAGCGTGGGGGGCAGGCAGTTGCACCAAAAAGATGCAGATGTGGAAGGAGGCAGATACTAAAGGGTACAGACTCCTGCACCACGTCGGATGGGGTGCCAGCCCCTCCCATCCGCTAGGCTCACCTGCCGTCTGGAAGCTCTGCTCCAATGCTGGGGCTCCTCCAGCTCCTTGCCAAACCTGTGACTTTTAGGACACTCCTGGAGGCCCTTGGCACCCAGAACTGCGGTCATTTCTACCTAACTCATGCAGTGCCTCTCCTAAACACCCCAACGCTATTTAGCACCCCTCTCCAGAAGCCTGGGCTTGCCAAAGACAGACATCCCCAGAGACCTAAGGAGAAACCGTGAGCAGTGTTCTCTCCACCCCACTCAGGCAAAGCTGGGGCTGGGGCTCCTATCCCGTCTGCACTTAAGTCACTGTGCTCTCACACTGAGCCTCAGGACCTCTGTCAACAGCAGCATCATCGCCTGGAACTGAAGCTTGGGGAAAGTGCCACCTGTCACTGGCAGGCAGGGCATTTTGTGAACATCTGTCCTTTAAGAAGTTCAGAGATGGGGCTGGGGATTTAGCTCAGTGGCATAAGCGCCTGCCTTGCAAGTGTGCGATCGTGAGTTCGATCCCCGATACCAATAAAAAAAGAAAAAGACAAAAAAAAAAAAAAAAGAGGTTCAGAGATGCCAACCTCAGCAGTCTGGTGGCAGGCAGTTCCCCTAGCCAGGGCAGCTTCCATTCCAAATTCCCTGGTCAGGGCCTTTCCATGCAGGGGCAAAAGACAGAAAAATATAGCAAAATGGCAGATTTATACACAACTTTATCAACAATTCCATCTCAATTACATCTAAACATTCCAGTTAAGCCTGAGATTGTCAAGATGGTTAAAATGCAAGATTGGATGGAGCATATGCTACCCACAAGAGCTGCACTGTAAAATCCAGAGCCACAAACAGGTCAGAGTAAAAGGACAGGAAAGATGGCCACTGTACCAACACGGGGCACACGGAGGCCAGCTGGCTCTAACTGCAGCAGAGAAGGTGCTGGCTGGAGCACTTAATGCCAGGCAATTTCATAGTAAAAATATGCACAGAGCTTCAAAACCCGTGAGACAGAGGTTGATGAAATTAAAGGGAGAACAACAAAAAAACCCAAAACCTGTAATCACAGCTGGGGATTTTTAACACCCCCCTCTCTCTTAGATACCGACAGAACCAGAATAGCTTTTAAAAAGCCAATAAGCCTTTGAAGGAAGTGCTCAGCAGAGCTGTTGACCATCTGCACTGCGCCAGCAACTGCAGCACACGCATCCCGTGGGAGCACAGGGACGCTCTCCAAGACTGAGTGCACTGGGCCGCAGAACCCAGCCTGTGAGGCAGTAGGTTCCCACTCCAGCACCAGGTGTTCTCTGTCCAAAACGCAGAGCCGGATGGGATCTTAAAAGCTCCCAAATGGAAACTAAACTCAACTGCAACATTCCCGAGGTCAAAGAAGCTGCAACTAAACTTAAACACTCTGAATGGCATGGGAAGAAAAACAGCATACACCTGAGAGCCAGCGAAGCCGCACCTCAAGGAAAGTCTTAGACTCGAGGCCAAGGCTGCCCGGGCCCAGCCAGACCAAGAGACGTGTTCCTGGCACTCTTGGCAGGGACTTCTTGCCCCTGACTCCATCTCCCCACTCGGGAGGTGGGCGGTCTCTCTCCCACGCTCCGTTCTCCTGCTGGTGACTAGCGAGTCTCCCGTATGCCACATCTGGGGCTCAGGTGTGGTCCTGCCTCTGCTGTCTCCCTGGGGTTCCTCCACCCAGTGCCTTGTGCCCCACCATGCCTCGGGGACCCGGGTGTCACCACAGTCTCTGCACCCTGGCCCACTGGTGCTCCAGAAGAGGTACTCACGCTTCTCTAGCTGGTCTCCGATCACCCTGAGGAAGGCCACAGAGATCATGAGCAGATTGATGATGAAGCAGGCCTCACACAGCTTCCCCATGGTGGCGCCACACAGCCCTCGGACCACGCCCTGGTAGGTGTCCTGGCCGCTGATGGAGGCTGCATAGCCCAGGGTGATCAGCCCGCTGATCAGGAACACCAAGGAGACCTGCAGAGCAGGACGACAGGGCCTGGCACACCCACGGCAGCGGGCAGGACAGACCCCTCCAGGTACATCTCGGCCCCTCCTGCCATCAGAGATGTGGAGCAGATGATCTCTGGCCCTTTGGCTTTCTTTGTGAACCTGGGGCCGTGACACCCGCCTGCCTCAGCAGGACAGACGGAAGAAACTCAGCTACTCCTGGGTTGTGGGCCTGCAGGGAGTGGTGGCCAGGCCTGAAGTGGATCGGGTGCACCTGGGCTTGGAATCCGAATCAGCTGCTCTCTGCTGTGTGGTGGAGACGGTCTGTCTCGCTTTCCCAGCCGTGAAATGGGGAGGCCCTGCTCATCTCCCAGGGATGCTGGACACAGAAAGTGCGCTCAGCTCAGCCCTGCGCAGGCTGAGTGCACCGGAATGTGGGCACCCCTGCATTGCTCCTGGGATCCCTTCAGCTTAAATACAGTGTATCTCCCGATGTTTACTGTGAATACCTTCCACACTTACAATTCTGCAACGAACGCTCACAATCCCCCAGATTGTACCACCAACAGGCTCCGGTACGGTTCCATCCCGGCTCCATCTGAATGGCACCGATCCACTTGAACCTGACTGTTTCACAGTAGTAGGTGTTGAACCCAAGGCTTTACACTGAGTGACATCGCCTGCCCTTTTAAACATTTTGAGACAGCGTTTCCCTAACCTGCCAACCTTCCTGCCTCAGCTGCCTCTTTGCAGCTGAGATTACAGGCATATGCCAGCATGCTCAGCTGACTCAGGACGCATTTGAAGTTGAAGGTGGCAGTGTCTTGTCGATCAAACGCTCCTGGATGTCCATGACAACACCAGCCCCATCCTTCTCCCTCGCAGGTTCAGCTCACACAGGAGATGCAGAATCTTCTGTGCTCACAGGGGTGTAACAGACATGTGTGTGCGCCAAGCCCTGTAGCACACAGAGCACCACCACATCCCTACTCCCGCCCTCAGGCCCCTTCCCCGTCGGTTTCTGCCTCCATCCTGTCCCCAGCGAAAGCCCTGACTTGGCACTTCGCTGCCTCTGGATGCTTTCCTATCTGGCTTCTCCCGCTCTGTGAGGTGTCAAGGAGATTCATGTTCAACAGCAGCGTCTGCTCGGCTGGGCACAGCCCGAGCCCAGCACCTGTGCGCGTGACTGAGCAGACACAGCCTTTGCCACTGTCAGTGTTGGAAATGCACTGAGATCCAGGAGTTCCAGGTGAGGGCCACGGGGGTTACCAGGTGGCCCAGACCCAACGATAAATGTCCTTACGAGAGGTAGAAAAGGCTGCCCCATGAGGACAGGAGGTGATATGGCCACAAGCCATCGAGGCCTGTGGCCACTAGAAGCTGGAAGAGCCACCACAGGTGGTGGGACCCTGCTGCCACCTTGATCTCAGGAATTTGTTACAGCAGTCACAGGAACAGCTGTGCAGTTAGGGATGGCCCCCAAAGACTTTCCTGCTGCCCTGGGGTCACCTGACCCCAGCCCATTGCTTTATGGTGACCCTATGACAGCTTGGGCCCAGCTTTGTCCTTGGTACGGCAGCCTCACAGAGCACTGGTCCAAACACAGGGAGGCTGTGCCTCCCACATAGCGGGAGAAGAGCCTACCACATCCTCTGGGCTCAGTGACCTCACCTCCGACCACCCTGGCTCATGTCCAGCCCCACAAGAGACCTCCTGGCTCCTCTACCAACTGAAATTCTTGGTGACTTCATATCAGAACAAAGCTCCATGAGGACAGGAAGCACTCTGGCTTGCTCATGTGACACACCAGACAGACAAGGATGGGCTGAGCAGCTTCCCAAAGACAGGAGGGGCCCCGTGGCTGTCTGCTGGCTCCTTGAAGCAGTCACAGATAGCACTGTCCCCAGTCAGCAGCTCTGTCAGCCAGGAAGAGCAGCGCGGAAGCAGATGGCAGGGTGCTCTCCGTGGCAGCTCTCCCCGCTGTGCTGAGGAGAAGCCCAGACTGGACTCAAAGCACCAGGAGGGTGGACATCTCTGTACCCTACCAAGCCCAGCCTGGCCTGCTGGGCAGCGCCACACCTGTATGAGGCTCCCATCTGCACGAAGGACTGGGGCAAGGGAATGAGCTGAGACCAGGTGGCTCCTTCCTTCCTGGCTACAAAGCCAGAGGCCCAGCCTGGGCACAGCAAGGCCTTCGGCCACGGCTCTGTCTCACAGAAGACGACGTCCTCTGCAGACATCGGCCCCCACTGGCACAGTGGGACCCCTGGCTCTGCATTCACTGTGTCAAGGATCTCACCCAGAAAGGCCAACACCCCCTCCCTGGTTCCTCAAGAGACCCCTGAGTCCTTCCTGGAGACTTACCAGCTCCACCAGGAAAGCAGGCACCAGGCCCCCCGCCTTGTGGAAGGCCCAGGGGAAGTTGAGCAGGCCAGCCCCCAGCGTCGACTTCAGCAGAATGAAGACAGCACCCAACGAGGACAAAGTGGGGGTAGCGGTGGCAGGAAGGGGCTTTGCTCCAAGGCCTCTGCTTCTTCCTGTCTGTTCGTCCATGGCTGGGGCCACAGAGGGCTGCAGAGAAGGGTGGTCACTACACTCCCTGCCTCCCTGTCTGCCCAGCTCGAAGTCTCGCCCCTGAGGTCTAGAGGTTCCTCTCCCCAAGTCTACAAGAACCCGCACGCCAGTCTGCCCTGTCCCACTTTCCAAGCTCAGGGCATTTGTCTGTCCGCCCCCCCAACCCCGGCCTTCCAGCCCTCCCGCTGCTAACTTTCTACCATATTCATTCTCACTTCAGTCCTCCCTTTCTGCACAGACCCTTTCTTCTTCCCTCATCTTCTAAAGTTCCAACTTCCTCTTCCCACCAGCCCTCAATGTCCCCCAGCCTTCCCGTCCCTCGGCTTCCCCAGGGGCTGCACTCGGCCCCAGCCCTCGCCCTACCACCAAATCCCACCGTACGGGGTCGCAAAGTCCTGGCCTTGGGGTTCCTCCAGCTACCCCAGCTGCATTGCTGGGTCAGGGCTGCGGGAGTGGACCAAGGAAGAACCTAGGGCTGCCAGTGATGAGGCTGAGTCACTCGTTCATTCAGGGGCCCTAGAGGACAGGTGTCCGGGTAGGGATAAGAGGTCAGGGCCACTTGTCCCAAGAGCTTGTGGCTTCTGAGCTGCCGACCTGCTCAGGGCATCTTAAGACAGGAGCTCCTGACAGGCCCCTCCCCGGGGAGGGGCTTCTCAACAGCCATGGAAGGGACAGGGAGCTCAGCTGGGAGTGATGAGGGTGGGGTGCAGGACCCTTCCACGGCCCCAGCTTGAGGAGGGGTGCGGAAGGCACTCAGCTGAGTGTCATAGGCTTGGACAATGGTCTCCTTTCACGCCCCCCTGCTCCCCAGGGATGAGGCTCCTCTGGTTCACCGGTGCCCACATTCACCTGGGCCCTGCTGAAACAGGCGGTTTCCTCCCACTGTGGGCGTGGCCCTGGGGGGCCAGGCTGCTGGCCTGGAGCCACACTTTGACTGCACTGACAGATGTCACTGCTTGGGAAGACGCAGGTGATGTCAAATCTTGAACTTGCACCCATTTGTCCCTAGAAGGAGGCCCTGCAGTTGGCATCAGAATACTCTGGAGCATTGTTCAGACTACAGGCCCCATCTCCAGTGTCTCCCTCAGTGGGGCCAGCACGTGGCCTGGGAATCTGCATTTCGACCAAGTTCCCAGGCATTCTAATGTTGAGGGCTCCGAGACCCTCACTGAGAGCTGCTGCTGCTGCTTTGAGTCAAGCATTTAGATGCCCAGAGCCCCACTCTGGCCCGGCCCATTGGCCTACTCTGAGACACCCCAAAAGGGCATTTTCACTGACCAGAGGCAAGTGTTCACCCGCTAGGTTGGGAGGTGCTGGCCAGCTGGGGCCAGCTTCTCAGCACAGATCTGTGGAAAGGGAGCCAGCCCAGCAGCCCAGGAGCTCCAGGCTGGACATCTCAGACACATTCATGTGCCCCACAAGCTGGGCTTTACACTAATATTCACACTGAGTCCTGAGAGGGCAGCGCTGGCACGGAGCAGGCAGCATGCAGTATCTCCGATGGTCAGGGACAGGACTGGGCCTCACACCTGATTGTGTCTCACCTGCACCCCTAAACTGCTCGACAGGGCTCTGTCAAGGATGGGATGGAGAATGCATGAATGAATGCAGACTCCAGAAAAGGGAAAGTCACTTAGCTTCTCCACTGTATTAGATCCTGAGAGTGCTGCAACAAAATGCCACGAACTTGGTGGCTTAAAACAAGTGCAGTTTAGCCTGGCATGATGAAACATGCCTGGGATCCCAGCACTCTAGGAGGCTGAGGCAGAATGGTCACAAGTAAGCGCCCAGCATGGCCAGTTTAGTGACTTATGAGATCCTGTCTCAAAACTAAATAAAATGGGACTGGGGATATAAGCCATTCAGAAAGCCCTGGGTTCAATTCCCAGCACTGAAGAAGTAAGAAACAAGACAGAGAAATCAGCCAAACATTTATTCTCTTGGTTTTGGCAGCCAGAATCCTACGGTCAAGTGGTGCACTGGGCTGAGCTTCCTCTGGAGGTGTTGGGGGACCGTCCTGCCTCTCCTAGCTCCTGGTGGCTGCTGTGCTCCTGGCTGTGGCCACATCACCCCCATCCAGCCCCTACCTTGGCATGCAGACACTGTGCCGGGGCTCCCAGGAGGCTCCCTGTGGTGGATTGAACTACCAGCGGTCCAGCTGGGAGAGGGACAGCCGTGCCACCAGGTACCACCAGGGGCTCAGATCTGTTTGGCAGTTAGACATGTGTGCCAAGCCTTGGGAAGGCAGCGCTGGGCAGAGCAAAGATGGTGGGGTGCTGGGGCTCTGGCAGGGGCGGCACATGATGCTGGGGGGGGGGGGCAGGCTGTTAAGTGGCTCTCTCCCCCATACCGGGCCTCCTCGAGAAGAGGTAACAAAGAGCCCTGCAGAGCGGTTAAGGCTTTGTTCTCCTTAATCTGGCTCAGGAGCTCGGGCACTTCCCTATCCCTGTCTCTGCTGAGGGTCCCTCATTAGCTGCCCATTAACGTGCATGACTTAGAAATTGGCCACTGGGCTGTGAAATTCCAGGCAGTGGGGAAAACCTCTTAACTCTGAGGGGCTTTGATATCCATCCTCTGCAGCCGGCATCACAGGGCTCCATGACCTTTCCCAAGCTGTGGAGGGGCACCCTGCTGGGCCCCATCTGTGCCCTGGCAGCCTGCACTCTGTGAAGGAGTGTAAAGGAGCCCTGGGGACTGCACGGGTGGGGCACACAGCACCCACTCAGGAGCACCCCACACAACATGCCCACCTCCCTTCTGCATCAGGGGTTCCTGGGGACCCCTCCTTCCTACCCACAGGGCATACCAGGGGGGACGGCCAGGGACTCCCTGGGCAGTGTGATCTGGGCAGTGCTTCATACCCATTAGGAAGTGCTGGGCCAGAGGGTGGGCAGGACTCTACTGCCAGCTGCCTAGGTGAAGGGCACCCTGTCACTCGCTGGCTGCTTCTTCGTCACCCGTGGAGCTGGGGGACGACGGTGCCTCCTGTCTGGGGCTGTTAAGAGGAGCTGGCGGGAAGGCATGGACGATGTGTGCCAGCTGCTGGTGTTGAAGCAGGAGCACGTGTCTTTTAGCCCCTGCCCAGTTGGAACCTTCCAGAACATCTGAGGATCCCTCCCAACTGCCATGCCGTCCCTCCCTGGAGTCCCAGAGTACCTAGCTACAGGCAGGGCGGGAAGCAGTTCCTGTCATGTGCCCCTGGGGAAGCCCAGCAGCTTGTGTGCTCTCAGAGCTGCATTCTGAGCCCGCAGGGCCTCAGACAGGCCTTCTGCCCCTCAGCCCACGGCCACTCCAGCTCTGCAACTGTCAGTCCTGGCCTGGCCTATGGGGTCGCTTGACAGATGCCAGTACATTGCCTCCAAGACCCTGGAAGGGCAGAGTGAGGCTTCCGTGTCCTCCCAGGCTAGAGCTCCTGGACTCTGAAGCATGGGTGGCAGCAGTTCTCCCAGGCCCCGAAGTCCTCCGGTGGAAATGCGTGCCACCTTAAAGATCCAGAAACCCAGTGTGGTCTGCAGATGAGGGCCCAAGGTGTGCTCGGGCCTCACCTGTAGAGCTTGCAAGTGTCAACTAACGGAAGTTCTCTCCCACCTCAAGGTCTCTGAGTTCCCAAGGTGGGTCCAATGTCATCAGTGTCCTCAGAACAAGGCACAAGAGGGGTCAGAGGTCAGAAGGCCCCCTAAGGACAGCAGGGATGGGGTGGGGTGGAAGACAGGAAGGGGCTAAGCACCCAGTGTGCAGCAGCTGCTGGGGCTGGGAAGGGGGCAGGTTGTGCACAGCCTCCCAGAGGACCAATGCCAGGGCTTGCACTGGTGAGGTCACCTTTGGGCTCCCAACCTCCAGAAATGGGGACAAAGCGAGTGGTTTAAAGCCATCAGATCTGTGGCCACTTACTTCAGCAGGAACCAGAAGAGAATGTGCTGGCCCTGCTTCAGTCCTACCTGGTAGGACCCTGAGTCACAGGCTCCCAGTCCCCACAGTGTCCCCCACCCCATCCCTCCCTCTGACACAGCCAGGTCAGGAGTCCCAGCCTGAAGGGGCAGGCGAGCCTGGGAGCCTTCTTACAGCCCTTTGGTTCCTGTCCCTCCCGCCTGCGAGGGTAGACTAAGCCGCGGGGTCTGAGTCCAGGATCCCAAGCCCTGGGGCCCTCGCTCAGGCTGGAGTCTGAGGACACAGAGAGGTTCCCCATACACACACCAGGGGCTCCCAGGGGAGACATATGTCTGCACATGAGAGGAAGAAAGTGACCAAATTAGCATAAAACTCAGTGTGTACTCAGTCAAGTACACACTGCAGGGGCTTTGATTATACTTACAATGGTGTGTGACCGCCAGCACTCTCTAATTCCAGAGCATTTTCCTCAACCCAAAAGAAAGCTCCTACCCAGACCCCACAGCCAGTAACCCGCTTCCAGTCCGCGGGCATCCCCTCCGGAAGAGTCGTGGAAATGAGATCACACAGGACATGTGGATGGTGGCTTCTCACTCCTCTCAGCGTGTGTCCGAGGCTCACTGTGCGGTGGCATGGATCAGGACTGCACTCTCCTTTCCCTCCATGGCAGGGGACATGACCCCCAGGGACCGCGGCAGCCACAGATGGCCCTGCATGCTGCCGCCTCTGGACCGTGGTGCCTGCTCTGGCTGTGAACTTTGCCCCAGAGGCTTCTGATTGTCCCCTCATTTTCATTTCTTTGGGAACATGCCCTGGAGTGCAGCTCCTGGGCTGTACAGTGCCTCTACGTGGGGGAGCTTTGAAACACATTTCTGCGTCCTTCCCATTGAGTAGTGACCTGTGGGTTAGGGGACAGGCCCTGAGGTCTGTATTTCCCAGACACCTCCTGCAAATGCCTCTGGATCACCAGCTAATGAAACCAGTCTCCTCTACTAAGATCTACTTGGATGAGCATTTTAAAACATCAAGAACTGTGATAGTTCTCTGGAAATGTGATAGTTCTCTGGAAATGTCACGCCATTCGTAGACTCCACAGGGAGAGAGAACAAGTCACCAAGAAGCAATCCCTGCCTGCGAATCGGAGCCATGCACAGGCCACTGAGGGAGAACCAGATGCCAGCCCCCTCCAGCACACAGGCTGGGAAACAGGAAAAGCCACCCCCCACTCCCCACTGTAAGTGACTGGCTGATCGGGAGAGACACAGGCTGTGATGACAGCCACTGAGGTACAATACAGCTTAATGCTTTAGTGTCTGGTGGCTCACTGACTTTGCAGGTCTGAAGCCAGTGGTCTGGTCACCTATTCAGAGGATAACAATACTCAAGTGTAGCACGTATGGGAGATGTCTTTCCGAACGTGGTGGCCATTGTTAATTCCCTACATCTTGTTTTGAGGTCTGTATCATTTTCATTGTTTTGTTGTGTCGAGTTTTATTGTGCTTTGTGTTGCCTGATTTTGTTACATCCAATGGCATGGAGCTCTTTCAAAGACAGTAAGACAGATCAGGGCGCCGTTTTGGATTTACTCTTGCCTTGTTTGACGTCCTTTATGGGTTGTTCTGTTCTTACTGGTTCTATTCTGTTCTGTTTTGCTTGGTTTTCACTATGTCTGAAGGTATCTGCAGCCATTGTGAAGAGGTGTTATGGTAG